ACAAAATCAACCATTTTGTTCTACATTTCAAACATTTTCTGGAGAGGACCCCTTAACCTCCTCTATATGGGGGTTTTTCCGTACCTCTGCCCTCCTTATGTAAAAGCTTTATGTACGTCCATAATAAATGAGTGAAATTCTTTTATAGCCATTGTTACTGTCTTATATTAGCAGTTTCTTTGTTCAACCATCGATCAAGAACAGCTAGATCCAGTGATGTAGCTGTAAATCCCGTGTTGGAACGCTCAATTTTGTTGCGGAAAGTCCACTTAGCAGTACGAATACATAGGTTTATCAAAAAAAGCAGAGGGGAAACGCTGTTCCCATATATTCCACTAGGTCCAATTTCAAACCTTCAAAAAGTTTAAGACAAATGATGCTTATTTAAACCTGAATATTGGTGATCAATGAGTGTAGAATTGAGTGGAGATGGCTGGTGTAGCTTTTGTTCGGACTAAAAGGTGTGCTGTTTCTTTAGTCCATCTTAAACGATCAAAAACTAACGACTTTTCTTACGATTTAACCAGATTGCACTATATTTACTCAGCTCCTAAGCTATTTGCCTTATAAAGTAGTAAATCAACCTTTTAGCATAACAAAACAGGCCTAGATACATTTCTATATAAAATTTGTACAAATTTTAACATAAACTTATCAGTGTTTTGGTAAGATTCTCTACTTTTATCTTAAACTAGACACATTATTGTTGAAATGTATGCTTCATTGACTTTCTTGAGCACCATATAGTTATAAGCTGCAAAAATAATTTTACTGGTTCTTTAATTAAAATCTACTCCACTTGTTCAAATTGGCTCTTCAATTTCCAATTATCATGGCATCAGTTTAAATTTCTCTCTTGAGCTCAAATCACTCTTTTTTGGAAAAACAGAAATTTAGGTTGGTATCTTCACATTTAACTGTAAGCTGAATTGATTTGTGTGCTGTAAGCTTCAAAAGTTCTATGTTGAATTTGTCACTATAAGGTGTAGAAGAAAGATGGATACCAAGCAAAAGGTAAGAAAAGCCACAATCTTAGTGTAACAGAAACAGAATGCTCTAATTTTTTCCCTGCAGAAACATAACTCTCAGCTCTAAAACCTGGTAAAATAATCATATTCCCTACTTCAGCAGGTTCGAACACGTCGATATGGAGTCCAGCTGTGATAGACTCGTGTGTGGAGGCGCAGAGAGGGGTAACGTCTAGTGCAGGAGGTGGGGGTTACACGCCTTCCCCCTCCACACCTACGACCAACTGCTACCCTCCGCCTCACCAGAACTACAACCCTTACTACTCAGGCATGGACTACCTGGGCCCCACTGCGATATCCCACTCACAATTAAATCCAGTAAGTGAAGTTGATTACACAGTTACTGTACAGGAAAATGAGAAATTCAATAGTAATGAACGTTTATGGAGTATGTTACATGTACCTAAAGTATAAGGATAGTCTGGTCACAAGGGAGGGGGGGGGGAGAGACATGGGTAGAAGTATGGGGCGACCGCAGTAACCAAATGTACATGTAGATGATTAAGCCTAAGCAAATGACATGAGAAACGGTTAAAAAACCATTTTAGCCAACCATCAAAGGAAATTTGAAGAGTAGAATTTGCATCAAAGGCTAGATGTAGGTTAAATCAGAATCACAGAGCAAATAAATGTACCACTAAACACAGTTCAATCACAGAGAAGTAAGGCACAAAGGAAACAGTCAAAAGTACACTTGAGTTGTGTCTAGCACTAGCCACTGCATGGTGACTAGGGCAAAGTCCATCACTGCCCCCCTTGTCCTCATGTACTACTAGTCACAACACTCACAGTGGAGGAAGACCCTGAGTGATAGGAATTTCCACACAGAGCTCGGGCTCTTCTTTGGGTGTCGCAAGTATATTTCTGACACAACATACTACAGCTGAAAACTGCATGGTCCGAGCATAAGCGAGCTTCTTCTGTACCTTACTTCTGTGTGGTTGAATCAAAATTTGTTTACATTTTTTAGCTATGATTCTTATTTTTTAAAAGCATTATTGATCATCTAAGCTAGGATCCTATTATTATTCTATTTGGGGATTTGGAAATGCGTTGTGTCAAAAATAGCATTAAAAAAAAGTGGGATTATGATGGTTGTAATTGCCTCTATCAACCAGTACTTTGTCAATAAGGGGGAGAAGGGTCTGTATTGTTTACGGTAGATATTTACATATTCCTTTGTAAAAACTCCTTGCAAGTCTAAAATATTACTGATTTTCCTCAACAGGAAACGAGTATTGAAAGCTCATGGGTTAAACGTGAAGACTCATCGTCCTGGTTCTACAACTCCACAGGTTGGGACAGGAAATGAGACCAGCTTCAACAGCTGCGTTACAGTATGTTCCAGAAACGGCCTGAACTTGGTAAGTTGCTTCAAACAAGTTTATGAAAGAATTTTAAAATTTACTTTACCAGCATGAATTCTTCCTAGGGATTGTTAAGGTGCCACTACCTTACAAAATATAATGCAGGATTACACGGATTCCAAAAAAGATACAATGACTAGTCAAAGCAGATTTTAAAGAGCCTGATTCCACGTTTGTACTTGGTAGTAGTGAAATATTTAACTCAAGTGAAATAAAATACATGATTGCCCATAAGAGTTAAATGAAATATTGATTATGATTATTACAATTATGAGAAATGCTAAATATATACATCATCCTTTTCCAATTAGGTTATTCTCAGACCTGGGCCTCTATATCTTTTTCTATCCATATCTATTATTTACCATCTCACACCTCCCATCCTCCTCCTATAGTGATTCCAAATAGCATTATTAATTAATGAAATTTGTGGGCATAAAACCTTAACGTTGACACTTCTGATGCAGGACTGAGTCAAGTGCAATGCTGGTCATCTGTCGCCAACTCCCAAACTCCTGAGTGACGTACTTACGTTCTGTCACTGACCTGCGTACGTACAGAGACTGTACGTACGATCGACGGCTGTGAAATTGTATCAAGACACTTTCTGCGTCCCGTCTCTTCATCATATCAAACCAATATTTGTACAGTAATGTTAACTTTGACACAAAGTACAACTGTAATATTTGTAAGAAAGCGAGTATAGCTAGTGTATCTGTTACGAGCGTAGCATCATTGCCCTGGGTGTGAGTGATTTTAATTCAACGAATACTTTTGCGCTAGGCCTATTATACATTTATTTTACGAGGACAATCAAACATTGATAAAACTTTTCTTGAAAGATAGAAAAGAAACATGTTAGTTCCTCTTGCGTATAGTTTTCCTTTGTGTAGGTACTGTTACTTCTTTAACAAAATTTAAAATCGATTTTTGTAATTTTGGATACCAGCTTGGCTTTTATTGAATTTTTAAAAGTTACTAACAGAACGTGAAAAAGTTGCGAGAGATGAGCAAAGACTGAAGTACATCTTACACAATTAACTTTCTTTGTATATTAAAATTCCAAACTAAATTAATTATCTGTACAATATGCTTGATTGTCCATCAATCCCTTTTGGAAATAACCTTTTATAGAATCAACGAATGCCACTTAATTTTACATATTTAAAATTAAGAAATCATAAAAGTACCTCTTATGAAACTTTACTTAAGTGTTTTTACTTTGCAACCCAAGTTGTTAACTCTAATCAAGATTCAAAATTTAAAAAAATAAACTTGTCAGTGAAATGTCTGAGTATCTTTCTTGTTACAGAGGAATTAATTGTGTTTCTAACATATAAGTAGATTGAACATAAAAATTTTAAAGAAAGGTTATTAAAACAAACGAATATCCAAGTTTCATACTTATGAAAAAAACCCTAACCCTATCTTGAAGATATTGTTTAACACTATCAGAAGACTCTGTGGCAGGATTTTGTGTTGGGTTAGAACGCCTTCATCTGACCATGTGCCAAACAACCTGTAAATTGACTAACCAATTAAATGTATAATCGTGAAATGTATTGTAGCATGGAATGGTGTCTAGTATATGTACATAATTACTGTAAATGTTTATGTAGAAAATATAAGTTTTTGTCTCACTTCTATGGTTTTATTTCATCCAAAAAGTCAGGCATTTTTTGGATGTACATTGATAAAACATCCAACTTTATTATTTAACAATAATATATTTTTTAGGGCGAAATCATACTAATATTATAAATGTGAAAGTTTGTGTGTTTGTTTGTTTGAAGTTCAATCACGCATTAACTAATGGTCGGATCGCGTTGAAATTTGGCATGATGATAGCTCACATTCCTGATTAACATATAGACATATTGTTACATCAAAAATCCTTTCGGGCTCCGCCCCAGCGGCTCTAGAGTTTCCCATGTTAACCTTATGAGTATTCATATTTAAAAGGAATTAAATAATTTTGCCAGCTGTTTCAACTACACAATTTGTTTCTATGATATTCAATAGCATTAAAAGGTTATACGGTTGCAGGGTGCAGCACCATTAGTTCTTTAAAAAGTTATGACAACAGCTAATTTGAAGCAAGCAGCAACAAAAAAGCTGTGAGAACTTTACATTTTTCTATTGGTTAGGTGCAGTGGTAGAGATTGGCTATGGTAAATGTGATATATATTATAGTATACAGTAAATCATAGTAAACCAAATTTTCTTAAAACGTGTCCTCTCCCATTGAAAACGCAAAGCACGAGTATTTAACTACAATAAGGATTGTATACCAACCCCGTACGAAGGACGGGTACTCAGCTAGTATTTAATAAAAAAAAGATAAATATATAACACAATTAGAAGTTGTACTATTTAAACCTTTGAGACACGAGACAACACAAAATGGCTGTCAGCTATAATGCCACATGGTAAGAATATGCTCTCATAATATTCTTATGTAAGCTAGCTGAGGTACATCTCCGACCCATAGGATTCTTTATAGATCTTATCTTGAAAACGGAGGGTCCAAAAAATCATTAAATTAAAATTATCATCAAGTTAAATTAATCATTAAAGTAATAGGAAAATAAATAGGCGATTGTTTCATGGTAAATTTTTACTATGGTTTCCTAAACGAATATCAATAAATAGAAATCAAAATACATGTCACAGATTGAAAAATTTCATTAAGATGTAAACTGTACATATATTGTCAATCGTTCCGATCAAATGATGGCAGAAATCAAGGTAACACCACACAACGAAAAAACATCTTTAAAAAACACACATTGATCTTAAGAAAAAATTATCACACAAAAACATTATAATTTATATCAAATAAATAAATACTTAAAATAAATAATGATAATGTACGAAATTAAAAAGACAAATATGATCGGGATTAAAATTCAACAATCTCTATTATGTACATTTACCGGTATTACTAAGTTATTGCCTCAATACAATGAATTGACTGTCTGATACAATAACCTTATAATCTTAGATACATCTTTGGAAATGCAAACAATTGAAATCACTGAGACCGAGGTGATTTGAGTCAGATAATACTTAGAAATAATACATCACTTCTGATAAATACATATTGCAAATAATAGTTTCAGTGCTATACATACACGATGAAGCGTCAGGTTAAACATAATAGGTGCAGTCTGTATAAATAAGTGGGTGATACCTAGAGATATCAGTCGGATCGACTATTAACAATGTAATCTGAACAATTAGATACAAAATTACCTTAAACATTAGATATACAAGACTATGACAAAGTAAGCCATTGGAGTAACGTTGATATGTTAATTATTTGTGTTTGAAAAGTCCTGTATACAAACGCACGGATAAATTTATATTGTTGCAAACAAACAAAAAAGCGATTATTGCTGAGCGTAGAACCTTTAGGCCAGGTATGGTTAAGGCAGTTTGGCTAGGTTGCCAATCAACAATTAATTTTGACAACTAATAGACGATTTTAGTTCAGATACATAAACGTGTTTAGAGTCGACGCGAAGAATAACAGTTTAACTACAATCTCCGAGCATTAAAATACTCACATTACGATACTTCAACGAGTATACCTATTTATACTTTATATCCATCTAAAAAACGAAAACCGTAGTAAAAAAAACTTGCGATCTACAGTAAAACTCTATAAATTCCCAACACACGTATTATACATGGCGAATTTCGACTAAACAAAATTATCACTTGAGCACTCGATAACAAATGCGAGCTGATTCACATGGCAACGACCGAACGTAAGGATTACGATACAGATATACACCAAGCATGATAATAACCAAGCAAAATAACAGTCTTATGGCAGAATCCTCAACTATTGTCAAGCACTTGGAAGTATACAATACGTAGACTATACAAGATATACACATATGCTGTGGAGAGTCTATAATACAATACTGATAGTCTCAAAACCTCAAGATGAAGCGAATTGTAAAGCGATGGTAAAGCGTGTGGCAGCGCTTCACAGCTGTTCTCTCATTACTAAGTCAAGTTATAACCAACAAACAAAGACTGAGATCACCACTACATGAAGATTTAGTAAGTGATGAGAATAATTCTAAAAAAAACCTATGTTCCAATATCGTTGGTTTAGTTTGAATAATATTTTGGCCACATGTAATAGTAGTTTACTCAATGATTGCGTAAAGATAGTGTTAACGACACAAGTAGAAAATTTAAGGTACGAGCCTTGGCGAGTGCCTTAAAAACTTCTACAAGTGTCGTTAACACTATTTACGCGAGTTGCGTACACTACTTTACCTACGACATTGTTTTAATTACAAAACATCACTACTCATAACTTCTAAAAGAGGTTATGTTTTCGTTTATAACCTCTCATTGCCAGTGACAGTGATGCAACGAAACATTGTATCAAACACTAATTGCACCAATCAACAATTAAATTGGCCTGAACAGCTGATTAGTTGAATTTCGAATCATTACAATTTTACTTCTCCTCTCTCAATCCTTGAAATTTAATATATATAGTTCACTAAAAAGGAAAAAAATGTCTTTTTGACCATCGCTCATTTTCTAACTTTGGCTTCGCCTTAATCAATAAACTTACCAATAAGCAGACCTTAAATAGGACGATCAAACAGGAGAGTAACTTTAGGCCATAACAAAAAATATATACCGTGGCTGTTATAAATTGTGGCTAGTTTTGAGTAGTTTAAACACAGAGTAGGCTATTTAAAAAATAAAATGATAGTGATAGGATAATCATTATTACTCATTAATATTATTTTGAAATGTTTATGGTTGGTTGCATGTTGGTTTGGTAACTAGAAACTGGATTACTTGGAGTCAAGAGACTGCAGCCAAAATTATACAACAAAATTATGCATAGCTATCCGGTTGTGAAACAAACAGCTGTAAAAGCACCACCACAAAATTATAGTGAGGCGTGATGTCCTAAATATGTGTAATCTACATAACATAATAAGTAGCACCAAAATAAGACTTACACAACTAAAGTTAGTGGTAACAAAAGAAAACACACCAGAAATGCATACTAGGCCAGATTTGGACCTTTTGTACAAGGGACAGAAGATAAAGAAATGTTCGATCTGATTTATACAAAAATCTAATTTCTAAGTTGTACTTCCTTAATAATTTAAATTAGATCACTTTTTTTTATAAAATAATAAATACTAAAAACACAAATATATAAAAATGTACAATCTAAAAACATTCATAATATCGAGTCTTGTCCGATAATAAAACTCCGCTAGCTGTGTACAACTCTTACGGACTAGGTATATTTATAATTTATCTACCTAGAAACAACTATATACAGATTTTATAATAACATCAGTTAAAATATTCAGTTAGTATTTTCATATAAATACAATACGGAGATTTAAAAAAGATTACTTACTAATATTAATAAGTACTCGAAAGATTCGTCACAGATCTGATATATTACGTCTAACTGTCGTAACTAGAAGAGTTGTGGTCGTGGCCAGGGGAGGGGGGCGTGGAGGGGTTGCTGCTGTTGTTGGAAGCTATTGAGTGTCTGGGACTGGACGCAACCACCTGGTCCTGTAAATCAACACAACACACAATGTATCTAGATCCAGAACAATTGTCATTGGCTTACAAAACAAAGAAAATATTAACATTTGAATTGGATTTAAAATTTTTTTTTCAATACAGTAGACTCCCTCTTATCCGGGCACCTTTTAACCAGACATCGGTTTAACCGGACTTGATTGTCAGGAAGTGGGCGGTACTGAAACGACTGTTTTCGTGGGAAAGATTTGAGACCAGTGATTACGTGTTTAAAAAAATGCTCTCCTAATTTTAAGTCAAATACTGTATAGAGTATGCATTTAAACTGTCCGTTTTAACAAGATTTTGGGGACGTCGGTATAACCGGAAAACCCGTTATCCGGACTGGCCTCGGTCTTAAGGAGTCCGGATAAGAGGGAGTCTACTGTATAGGTTTCAATCCCTTAAACACCTTTACAGGGTTTCATTAAGGTTAAATAAAAAAAGATAAATTATCTAATTTATGTCCAAATGTTTTATGTAACGATAAAGACATTTATTTACTTAACTATTACAGGGGGCCTTTAGTCTATCTTACATGTGAGTAAAGGTACCTTCCCAAAAATTAAATGTTTTATTGTTTTAACCTGTTGATACCTTGTCTTCAGCGGACGACCTTGTCAAAATGGATGACACACTTCTATCTAGGATTTGGCTATCTAGAGTACCATCTTCATTATGTGGAGGTAAAGCCTCCTTGAAGACAGCACTGTACAAGGCCAAATAAATAGTGTTTTATCTCATTTTGATCTTCCCCTGAAGGCTACAACTCTATGTCTAATTTGACTGTGGAGGCCAGATGCATTTCCATGAAGATTTTGTCTCACCTTGGAGATGTCATGTAAGCTGTGGTGGCCTGCCTCCATGTCCGAGTGGTGACTGAGAGTGTCGGGAGTGCGGGGCAGAGCGGGAGGAGTGACAGATGGGCGGGGAGGTGCGGGGGCCCGTCTCGTCGTTGAACCTAAAACACAAAACACAAATAAAACTTTTGGTCCTCAACCTTGTACATAAGTTTGGCCATGTGAAAAGGATAAAATAATGAATAAAATAGTAGGAGGACTAAAAAAATCCAAGATACCATAGAAGAGGACTTGATGCTAAGCTGAAAACATCTACAGCCAGTGGAAGAGGTGGATCTTTATTTAGACAGACTAGGATGGAGGAATATTATCATCATATTAGATTGGGAGCTGCTAAACGAATGGTATTGGTGATGTAATATTTTCAACCAAGCCTCACATCCCCCTAATTTGTAAAAAAAGATTAACAAAAATGGAAGTGAATAGTTATTGGCTCTTACAAAAAACTTCTGGGGAAGAAAAAACCTCCTCAAATAACTAAATGTTAAATGGATTTTTTGAGAGGATAGCAGGCTTACCTGAATGGGAAAGAGTCCAAACTGGCACAGGAAACACAAAACAAAACTTTACACTATATACACAAAACATTAGAATATTTCACTGTCACTGACAGCATTTTCAACTAAGGAAGAGGAAGAGATCCTCTTCCTTAGTTGAAAATGCTGTCAGTGACAGTGAAATATTCTAATGTTTTGTGTATATAGTGTAAAGTTTTGTTTTGTGTTTCCTGTGCCAGTTTGGACTCTTTCCCATTCAGGTAAGCCTGCTATCCTCTCAAAAAATCCTAAAAAATCTAGGCCCTTGTGCTCTATGCTACACCCTTAAATGTTAAATGGGTTTTGAAATCCTGGCACAGAGCAATTTTGTTGGATGACTAGCAGAGTGTGAAATGCAGCATACTTACCATTGTGTCCAGAATATGACTGACGGGGTAAATGACGAGGTTCCAGCATGGGAGGATGGCGGGGGGGTTGATGTGCCATCTTGCTGCTCACCATGGGACCATGTACTATCTGTGAACAAACGGTTTGGATCAGTAATTTACACTGGTTTACACGAGAGATAGTGTAGCTGGGAATCAATGTTTCTAGAGCAAGTAAAGGATAACCATTTCTCCATTTGGCTTAGCAAATATTATTCCTCTCAACGATAATTGAGCAATTTAAAGCTTAAGATATTTTGGGCTTGAAATCTAATACAGTAAAACCTCATTAGTCGACAATTTGTGGACCCAGAGGTTGTCGAGTTTGGGGGTTGTCAAGTTATCCAGAAAATTTAAATTTGTAATGGGTTTTTGTTTTTAATAAATACTTAACAAACACATTTTTACAAAATTTAACTAATTTTTTTCAAGGGGGTTTTACGAAGGGGAAACATTGATCTTTGGTTTTGGGGGCAGTCTGAAGATTTGAGTTTCTTCTCAATTTGATAGGACCAGAAACAAGTCTATAAGATACTAGTTAGTGAGTCGGTGGCTCAGTCGGTAGCGTCGTGGACTTTGAGCCCAAGGCAGCGATGTCTTGGGTTCGGATCCTGGTCACTGCCGATAACATTTTATTAGTACAGTTCACCTTTGTACTGTACCGGCTCACTCCTTGCTTTGCTGTAAACGATCCAAGCACGGGCGCTTAGTCTATGTGGACGGGCAAATGCAAGGTTAAAAGACCAACCTCTTAAAAAAAAAAAAAAAAAAAAAAAAAAAAAAAAAAATACAGACCATACTGTAACCACTAAGGACATACTCTTTGCTCATTAGTAACTGGAGTCTCATGGTGCATCTTAATGTACCAACTTGTGTCTTCAAGTGCTCTTGGCTCCATTTAAAAGCTGTAACTGTAAGCTTTGCAAAGGCCAAGCAAGAACTAATGTGCTTTCACCATCCACATAGCTGGGGAAACCATTCTTTTATATGTCCGTCCAAATACCGACAAAGAACACACAAGTTTGCATGGTTTGTCGTGTAGTTCAAGTGCGTTGTTCGACTAGCTTATGTTTTACGCACAGCTGTACATCCGGTGTGGAGAAGTCATTGTGTTGTGGCATACAATAAGCTGTAATGTTTGTCTACTAACCCTCTGCTGTGAGAGAGGTTGCTGATCAGCTGTCTCCAGTGTTGTGGGCAGGTCCAGCAGTCGCTGTATCTGTATGCCGTCCCCAGGCCCCATGTGGCTGATATGGTTGAAGTTGGTAGGGGCTGAGATCATCTTGGACCTCCTGTCTGGCGCCCGTGTAGTCCGATGACCTTCTCTGATAGAGAACCTGCGTCTGGGTCGTGGCACTGCCTTGCCTGTCGGGTCACACACCGTCACATTGATCAGCTCACCTACAAACAAATAACACTAGTAATTAACACTAGTAATAACACTAGTAGTATAGTAATCACGGCTAGAATGAGGAGGCGTGAAACACTCATAATTGAATTCAAAATAACTTCATTCTTTGATGCACAAAAATATAAATTGAATAGCGTCATTACAACTAAACAGAAATAAACAAAATCATACATTTAAAAAATGGTTATTTAGGTCACCAATGTTTCTTACAGTGGCAGGCGAATTGTCTACAAATAGTTTTCATGCACTAGCAGTTTTTGGTGAAGAACTCCAGGGTATTGATAGCAAGCAATGTCATTTGTGTCCCAAGTCAAATATTTGTGACTATCACTATTATTCAAGTCTTGGAACTAACCAAATTAGCATACATTTTTTTACATGTCAAACGGTTTCATCTGCAGTATCAATGAAGGTAAAAGAGTACTAGAAATTTTACAGACCAACAATAGTATGGACGAAAGTATGGAAGGTACAGAAAATTGAATGGTTCAGAATAAAAGCTGAATAAATTTGATTGTTAAGAATCCTTGGAGGCTAATGGCTTGGATAGTTCCATACAGCTGCTAAAGAGTTATATTTATTTATTGTCCAAAAATATTTTTATAATTTAAATATCTAGGATTCTGTGAGATTAAAAATGTTCTTTGTAGTTTTGAATTGCTCTCCAAGGGAGTCCATGGAAGCTAACGGCCATCTTGGATTCACCCGCCATAAGGGCAATGTTAATTTTGTTGATTTCAAACAGCCACTGAAGAGTTATTTACCATCTCAAAATATTTTTTCTAACATCAGACTGATTGCAATTTAAATATCTAGTATACTGTGAGATTATAAATTTTCTTTGTAGTTTTAAAATTGTTTTACGAGTAAGTACGTCTAGGCTCCAAAGACTATTAAGGGCTAATCAACATAGAGGAATGACATAGGAATGATGAAGGCTAGTTGAATAGAAAGTAGCTTGATTGGTGGCGGACTGGCAGGTACTTACGCTGGTGTATGTTGTTGAGGTAGACGATGTGAGGCATGTCGTTGATGACGCAGATACTGAGGGAGCCTGTGGTGTTGAGAGGTCGCGCTCTCTTCAGGTTGATGGTCTGTAGCCACTCTCCACTGGCTGCGTTGAACACATCTATGTGTGTCTCGGTGTAGACTAGCAGCTGTCCGTCACAGTAACCTAGTACAGTAACACGCCATTGGCCATCAACAGTTTTGGAGGCGTCATATTCTACATGATTTTACAGGTTATGTGTAAAGTTGCAGTTCTGTTAATAAGGTAAAATACCCCCGCCGCAGCAAACCTGCCGACTAAGCGAATTTCCATTTGTCTGAATTGATTTTCAGTTAAATACATTTTAACAAGGAAACTAATAAAGTGTGTTTTTGAGTAAAATATTGATAGCTTAGTACAAAATAAATAAATTTGCCAAGTTTGATCAAAATATATCCATAAACAAGCAAACTACAACATTTGACAATATTCTCCATAAGAATAACATGGGAGTTTTAAATTTACAATTTTTTTAATTTTCTCCGTTACTAATAATCGAACAAAAATACTTTTATATACTAAATTATTTGTTTTTTTTAAGCTCTTTAAAAAGGTCTAAAGAGAAATCGGGAAATTTTGTGTTTTGAGGGTCAAAAGTGAGAAAAACCAATTTTTACCCCATAAAACCCCCCGTAAAGCCCCGTTCCCATGGTCCGATCGTGCTGGTTCGCGAACTCATTCAAGTTTATCCCACTTTACACCTTTAAACCAAATTTCATCAAAATCGGACAAAAATTACTCAAGTTATCGCGTTCACGGACGTATATATATATATATATAAGTCTATATATATATATATATATAAAAATTTGAACGAATGGTGTTTTTGGCCTCTGGGGACATCAAAATGAAAAAGTAAATCGGTCCCGGGTCTAGGTCTTACCGTGCCACCTACGGTAATAGCTACTTCCCTATAGGGAAATTCGCTAAAAACATCAAATTACTTTGTTAAAACTATTATTTTTATTTCCAGAAATAAAACAAAAAAAACCTAATTTTAAGTTAGAAAGGGTGTCAAAGTCAAAGGACTGTGTAGTTGGATTGTAGATTACTGCGTTTGTGTAGGTCAATTAACAAAATCAGGCACAAACACTTTATAAAATCCCTAGGTATTTTTAGAAAAATGTCCATTGGTCAACAAAATAATATGAAAGATTTACTCCCTACACTATCAATAACTGACCAACAAATAAGAAAGATTTATTCAAATTGATTAAATTTGACCTTTACACAATCAATGACTAGGACATAGACCAAAGAGAGTAGAAGACAACCCATGTCTATGATAAAATTGTAGCCAGTCTTAGAATAAAAATGCTGACAACATAAATTGAACCAACAACATAGTGTGTTGCTGCCTAGACTAACTTAACCAATCTTAATATCTTTTATGTCACACATAAGATCAATGTATTGATAGCTAAAAAAGAAAACATTATTTTGACACAAACTTTGTGAGCGGCTCATTCAACTATGTTCTCCTGGAGGCATAAAGTGTCTTTATGTCAAAAATGATACTCACTGACGGCAGTAGGCACAGCGGGATACATGAGCTCAGTGTCGCGAGACTTCTCACTACTCTATCAATAACTGACTGGGGGCGGGGGACCTGGGGGCAAAGTGTCCTTATATCAAACGGGATACTCACTGACGGCAGTAGGCACGGCGGGATACATGAGCTCAGTGTCGCGAGACTTGCGTCCCTGGCTGTCGACGTAGACACCCAGAGACTGGAAGACTAGAAGGAACTCTCCACGTGGTAACTCTACAGCTCGCATGGCGTCCACAGCACTGTACGACAGGAACCCCATCAGCTGGTTGTCCGGGTGTATCAGGGCTGCAAACATTACAACCATATACAATATTGCCAAACCATTGTTGACTGCTAGAACCAGGCTAAGCTATGAGTTTGGTTTAACAACACTGGACTGTACAACTGTATAATCAAAAGTTAAATAATAAATCAGTCATTGTTTATAAGTTTGTTCTGAGGCTTTTTCTTGAACAGCTTTAAAAATCAATCATACTAGAGTAGTCATGTTGCACCAGCTAATCCAAACAGTATAGTTTATCCAAACAGTAGAGTGTTGAAAATCCGAGCGTCAAAAATCTGAACCACTGAGGATTTTAAAATATTTAATTACACTGAGACAACATATGTTTTACAATTTCGCGGGCAAAACAGTTGGCTTGTCGGTAATGTACCGAAAATACAAAGTACAAAAACCATTGTTTTTATTTTATTTACTGTATCCTAGAACAAAATTTTTAATACTTTAGTCCTAATTATGTGTCTCTTAGGCATCCTATGTTTGGAATCTGAACAAATCGGTAATCTGAACTACCAACAGTCCCAATTGGTTTGGGCTTTTGAAGCTCTCCTGTATTTTAGAACTAAACTTACACTTACACAGAGGGTGGTGATCTCCCATGATGCTGTACACACTAAAGCCCGACTGGTAGCCCACACACAGTCTGCCCTCACTGAAGATGTGTAATGACTGGGCTTGAGTGGGCAACATCACCTCTCTCACTCTCTTGTGGCGAAGCTTGGTCCTCGTTATCTCATAGATAATCACCTGCGATGTATTCTGTAACACGTGCACACAGAGTGATGACATGCGCTATGCTTCCAATACAGAAAGAATACAAAGGTGATTGGAAGAATATTTCTGAAGACATTAGAAGATAGCTTGGTACACAAATAGCTTGTTAGGAGACAATACTAAGTTTATAAGGCATTTTATCTACTCTTAACTGTAGATACTATTGGGACTTTAACAGTGCCGAATGACTGAAAATTCCAGATAACTGAGGGCAATCTTAAAGTGTTTGGGAGACTAGTAGTGATAATGCTAAAAATACAGTCAAAATGGCTGTTACTTAAGTTACCATGCAATTTTTGGATCTGAATTGTTATTTTTTGTTCTCCTTGCAAAAAAACTTCACAAAATGAGCCTTAAGGCTTTTTCAGTCTAAAAACCCTCAGGCTGACGCTAAATTATAGGATGCAGGATTTGAGGGGTTTTATTGTAAGCCCAACCTTGTTGAAAGACATTAATCTAGTGTCTACGCTTTAGATATAGATAGCAAAACTCAGTCTATCTGTTATCTTTCCTCGACAACAAGTCTTCAAAGACCAAAATATTTAGGATTTTGATGGAAACAGTCTAGTCAGCTTTGCTAGGGGTTCCAAATTTCCATTTTAATTATTATATCATAAAGAACTTTTGCTATCCTTCCATGAATATGGGGTTTTTAAAGAAACAAACTATTGTAGCTATTGACCTGTCGCTTGATGGCCACACACAGACAGTAGGCCAGCTGAGGCGTTCTAGTCATGACTCCTGTAGTGAATGTGATACATCCCTTAGTCTCAGCCACCTTGATCCACTCCACCTCATCACCATCCAACGCTCTCACTGGTATCAGCCTCAGGTGACGTTGTTTCCCTACAACATAACACGGCTCAGTAACAAAAACTATCAAACCAAAAGGATACATTATCATACTGGTTTTGAGCTTCAAATTTAAAATTGTTCAATTAAGTCTTTAAAGTTTAGCTGCTATTGGGTATCTCACCTGATAATAAAACCAAGACTTGCTCTTCTACAACATATTCAAGCTGGAAGATCTTCTTTCCCTCTCCAACACGAGCGATCTCTGTAACATCAGAAAACAAAATCAGTAATGATGAGTGTAGCGGGGGGCCGTTTGGTGAGGGGGTGCGGGGTTAAGGTATCGGATGGAGGAGGGAAATTCGGGTAATCAGGAGGGAATAAACAGGGTAATGCTAATAGGTTAGGAAAAGGTGTGTCTGGACCAAACTTAATTTCTGCGTGCTGAATCTGCTACCAATACAATTAGGAAGATTGCTGGGGACCAGAGGGACGGAGACCTTTTACCCAGATCAGAACACTTGCCTAGCCAGCTTTGATTTGAACTAATGGAACTAACTATTTAAATATAAACCTATCCTTCCACTATGAACTGAACTTGGGTAATTACTTACTAATTATTGATGAGCAAATGAGTGATATGTAATTGAATACTGAATGAGAAATAAGTATGAATTGATTTGAACTATTAAGTTACATTCTGGGAACATGTGGTTTAACTAACAGGTTTGAGAAGGTCCGCTACCTTAAGGGTAGCGAACCCGGCTAACATTTGTTTCCTACATTTCACCAGTCGGGCGAGCCAGATGGGCTCCCCGCTTGTTACCTGACTTAGCCAACCATAATTTGAACTTATTACTACTTATTAACTATCAATTAACTTATCCATCATATCGAGAGAATGCCTGGTGTTTTCCGGAGAGGTTTTCTGTGTAGAAGCCGGTTGTCGAAGAAGGAGGACAAGACCTAGGAAAGGTGGGGATAGAGCATTGATGCAGTCGCGGCAGGCAACGAGATGAACATGTAGCCCGGCTTCGCGAACTGCACACACTATAAAAAATATAGCGTGCCGCTATGCGTCACATGAGAAAACATTGAAATTGCTTCCCCCTTGGGAATTCCACAAAAAATATAAATTAAACAATAGTACAGTGGTTATGAACCTTTTTAAAAGTGTGTAACCCTTGCCAAGTGTAAACTGTACCCCACATAACAGTCCAGTTATGGCATGGAGGCGAGTAGGCCTACCGCGGGGTATGAGGTAAATAAAAAATTCTTTTATACGAATTTAAAAAAGGGCATTTCTAGGCTATCTGAAGGAATCTACGATTTATTTTCTTATCTATTAGGAAACTATTGAAGATGAACAACACACATAGAATAAAAGTCAGTAACAAGAAAGGTACTCACCAGAGCGATCCAAATCCAAGCAGAACAATCCTTCCTCAGTGCCCAACACAAGGCGGTCTGGGTCTATAATGGCCCCTGACATGGCGTTCTTGATAAAGGCCAACGTGTTGTCTAACAACTCCTTAGCTCTAAACACCTGCAGCACAAAAAGTAAGGTTGAAAATAAATATGTCTATTGAGTAAATCAACTGAACCGTCCCAACTGTAAGCATTAAACTGTAGTTGTACAAGAAATTCCCAATTTTTGTAGCTACTTACCTATTAGAGTAGGAAGTTAGGTCTATAATCTTGTCGTATCCTGTACCGCTACAGTATTATCTTTGTTTTTACCATCATAAATGTCCAAATTTAAATGTGTGAATGTGCTATCATATTTATTAGCATTTATTATCATTTAACGACCTTCATATGAAGCAACTAGACATCTTGACTGGCCTGAGGATGACTCCCATGTGAGTTGAAACCGGTTGCCATACCGCAACGCTTTGATTGCATAAATGCAAGTATTTTACACCAATTTATAGTATTTAAATGGGATCAGGAGGCTAAAATTCAAAATAATTTGCTAAAAGTACTGAAACAAAACACAAAGACGGCCTATAATCTTCAAGATTTGACTGAGAAGCGATTTTCCTCTCGTCCAGTGGCGGTCCGCTCCGCTTTTAGGAAAACAGTACTATTAAATCAGCTAAGACAAGAGGAGAGCTCAGCTCTCCGCGTCCCGGCCTAGGAAAACCCAGTTTTACACAGGAGTGAAACGACTAGTAGGCAACATGTTTATAGTAAGACTTATCAGCTAGCGTATTTGGGAAACACTAAGTCAAGGGATTCATAGATATTCAAGAAATGTTATGTGACTTTAAGTTACTAGACTCCAAATGTTACCAGCTAAGCTAAGTGGTACAGTAGCGTGACACTAACCGTAGTGTTGGGAAGGTTGTTCCTCTTTAGTATCCTGTGCAGCTCACTCAGTGCCACCACCCACTTGCTCTTTTCACTCTCAGTGTCAGCCAACATCAGTGTGTGGTTCTTGAGACCTGGAGGGTCCATCAGTGACGTTGTTATCTGTAAAACAGCAGAGAAAAATCATAAATTTAAAGCAGGTTGTGGCCTATTTGAAAATAAAATTGCTATTGAAAAAGACAATGTACTACCAGCCCAGCTATAACATACATTTGAAATATTACAAACCATACGTATAGCTAGACTATCAACTCTAAACATCAGACTAAAGATGGTAAAGTCTTCGTATACTATAGGCAACTAAAAATAAAGTTACAAGATATATCAACTACAATTTCCTTGTAAATAACAAATTTTTCTACAATGTAACAAAATACCAGATTTTTAAAACCCCTACTCACCCTGAAAATACAGGGGATGTCCTTCTTGGTGGCATGTATGACATCACTGTCACGCACACTAGACACAGCAAACTCCTCGTCTCTCATGTCCAACACCTGACTGACGTACACTGAAGGCAATGCGTTGCGGTCAGGCGAGATATCGTACAAGAACAGCTTGAAGTCACAGACCACCACAAACTGCCTCACCCAGCCTTTCTTCACTCCTCCAGTCTTGGGTACCTTGACATAGCCCTCGTACGCTGTGCCGATGCCTCGTGTAGGGTCAATGCCAAGCGGCCTCTTAGCTGTAAAAGTATTAGGCGTGAAATATTGAAGTGAATTCAATTCGAGTTTCGATGATTTTAAAACCATTAATTAAAACATAGTATTGATACATGTTAGATTCATGCCATTTTATTACTTCCTTCTACAAAAGCTCCTTGTAGAGGCAAAATACAAAATTGTCTACTTGTCTATCCATTTCTTTTTCCTATATGTATTCCAAGTTAAATTTCCTTAACAACAAACAAATGTATTTTATTCGTATTCATCACTGAATAAGTTCAGAACTTGTAGTAATGTGTATGAATCAACTTAAATTGACATGTTTATCATTGTCGAGCAGTAGACATAACAAGACACTCAAACCTTTACTTGCCCTGTTTCAATACCAAAAAAGATTAATCTACACTGTATTACATTGTGCACTACGAAAAGCCTTTTTCAATGGATCATATTAAAATACAATAGCTTATCTCTCTCTCCCTCTCTCAGATTTGTTTAGTTCCAACTTCAAATGTCCACCTGCATAAAAATGACTCACAGACTCAAAGCAAAGGACTAATCATTTATCAGTGGCTATTTACTTCATAAATTCTCATTTCAAGTTAATTTGGGTTTGGTTTATGTTATTTGGTGTACTAATGAGGACATTCCTATCATGGATAGTGAAAAACTAAATTTCACAACGTTCTGATCTGGAATCTTTCAGCTGAGAAAGAACAATTGTTACTCACCAAAGTATACTATGTTGCATAAATTCACCAATGTTTTAGGTACTAAGTGCAGAAAAAATTCCAGATACTGCATCGTTAGAACTTATTTCCCACATTTATGTTTCGCCTCAAATAATATTCCTAAAATAAAGGTATGAATTTACAATGATCATACTTTGGTCGGGAGGCACGGGGCAGACCGGTGGCACTTTATCACAGCAGGCCATGTGACAGGCGAAGCCGCACACTTCACACACCACTCCTTGTCTAGTCAGTCCCACCATGAGGGACGTGCAGTGGTTACACTTGGTGGGAGAGGAGAAAGTCCTTACCAGGAACTGATGATGTTTGGGCTTGGGAGGCAGATGACTGTGACTATGATGATGGTGGTGATGATGGCCGTGATGGTCCTGCAACATATTGCCATCATTGGTAAATCCATCATCATCATGTAAGATGATCCATGTTATAGGAGCAATCAGATCAGGTGATAAGGTTGTAGCCTGAAGGGGGCAACTGGGGCGGCACAAGGTAGTTGAAGCTACAGTCAGGAGTATATATTTTAAATAAATAAATAGCAAAGTCCCATTCCAAGCACATCTATTTAGAAAATCTGCTGGTTTCAAACTGGTCATTGTCAGCAAAATTTGCAAATTTTGCCGATAACAGTGGAGATTATAGCGATGATAACACAAACGTTGTCAAAAGGTAGTAATTTGACTGTGGACGTTGGCGAAGTTAGGGATGTCTCCGTGAAAAAAAAGAGACGCTTCCAATATACTGAAATGTTTGTCATCGTTTCCTGTGAGGACAGCATGTTCTCATCTTTCGCATACGCAGCAACATCGTCATCATCTCTCGTAATGACAGCCGTATCGTTAACATCTTTCAAAATTGTAGTTACACAAATGATCGGAATAGCGGGACTGTACATCATTAAATCAGTTAATACAACCAATGGTACGACAATATATTTTAAAAACAAAACATAATTTTTCCCTAATAATATAAACTGATGATAAACCACAGCATGGGTAAGCAAACACCTTAAAATAATTAGTTATTAGAGAGTTCGACAGTGTGATCCTGAGCGTTAATTGCATTTATGGTTAAAAACTGGACCCGGCTATCCTTGATCTTTAGGCTTTTTATATATGGTTCTGGCTGAAGAAACAAATGATCTCTGAACCATAATCGTATTAACCTCGTTGCTGGTTAACCAGGAAATGTTCCAGGAAAAGAGTAGTTTACAGTTTGTTAGTTTAATTAAATGCAGACAGAGATAGTCCTAATTTCCAACACATGTCAATGTTTTTGTATGAAACTGTAGGTCATATTTTTGAGACTGTAGGGTATTTTCTTGAAAGGAAGCGTGGTAGGACATAAACAATCTGTGTTTCACTCAAGGTCATAGACCCCTTCCCTCTTACACCTCCTAATACGTCGACACTCAGTCGCACGCCACAATCAGAGCCTGCAATAAGATGCTCCAATCGCAGACAAAATTGTGTTATAAAAATGAGAATTAGAATCAAGAAGAGATGTATCTCTATTCAAAACCAGAAATCTGTCGCAAATTACTTTTAAAGATAGTAATTCATTGTAGGCCTACTTTGTGCCTTGTAAATATTTTATTTGATCTTACAGACTGTGACTGTACATATTTCTTGAATTTACCCCTGTTATTTATTGTGATTTCCCTAAAACAGGTTCAGGTATGTTTTAGTATAGACAAATAGAATAAATATAGACTGTCAAAGGAAGCTTCTGGCGCCCACCGCTAGGAGTGCCGTGTAGTTACGGCACACACCGCTGCAGGCAAGGAGCGCAGGAGCCATATGCTACCAGCAGACGCTGCAGTGGTGTGCGCCGTTAACTACGCGACACTCCTAGCAGTGGGCGCCGGAACATATGCTAACCGCAGCACTGCTGCCAGTCTATATTCATTCTATTTGTCTATGGTTTTAGTAATGCAATATAATAACATGTTATGGAATAACGTCGATTTTACATATTAGGGAAGCCTCTACCCTACTTATCCTGGTTAATCGGGAGTTGAGTTTAGTAAATATAGATAAGCAAAATAATTTTGGTAACCCAAAATTTATATTCTATACACATATTATGATTTGACTCCATACTGTATGTTTTACCTTTGCCTATAGTATCCAATAGTCAATGGTTTAACCTAACTTTCACTTGGCTAACATGTAAATCTATGTCAACCATCAATTTTCCTATGACCAGTTTAACTTGTAGTGGTACATTCAAAACATAAAAACCAATTTAAGGTAACAATGATGCATTTTTATGTCATATGTGAATAAAGACTCTTAACGTTTCTTAATTATTGCAACATACCATGAATGGTGAGAATATATCCAGCTTAGATTTTCTCCGTAGTAAATATTTATCACTAGAGAGAAGTGTACTAGTGTTATCAGAGGGAGATAAACAGGTTAACAAACAAAAGCTCCTGCATGAGTCAGTGTGGTTGCTGAGAACATAGCTTCAACTCTGATCATTGGTGAGTCTCTACTCTCTACACAATATACATAAGCAAGTCACATTTGCACATAACATTCTTCACTGCAAAAGTAATTTCTAACGATGCCTTGTCACATATGAACATTGCATTATAAAACTAGGTGCAATATTTAATCTTCAATAGAAAAACTGGATAAGTATTGAATAGAAATTTAACAACATAGATAGTAAAATAATTTATGTAAATTTAAGGATTTCAATAAACACTGAAAATAGCTCGTGCATACTATCAGACATCAAATATTGAAACTAAACCCAAATACATAGGCTACATATTAAATTTTTAACGTCAAATTTAGAGAACTATTTTAGGTAAAAAAAAAAAAAACAAAAAACTAATAATCCAATTAAAAATTTTGTTGGTTGGGTAAGATTTTATTTTAGTGAGAATTTTGTCGTGAAGACCCCATGTAATGCTTTTTAGAAACCATGAAATGATTAAGCAAATTCAAATTGTGTGCGTTATAAGGATGGGTGAGAGTTTACAAAATATTTTACTATGGACAAATATTAAATTTTCTCATTTATGACTAGTTAGTTAGTCAATAAAAATATTTTTCTGCCTTTTTCCCACTTATTTTATAACTATTGTGAAAAATTTGTATTAATTTTGTGAGATTTTTAGCATGTTTGGAAAAATATAAATAATTTAATTTTAAATAATGTTTTTTTCAATTGTAAATCAAACATCATATTTGTGAAAGATACAAGATTACTCAAATGGATGATGGAACAATTCTAATGAAGTGATCACGATTAGATAAAGGGATAAATTAATATAAAATATATAACCTTCCATAACAAGCCATCCAAAACTTGCTCTCTTGGAACGATATATTTTAAAACAGTGAATTACTATACAATTAACACAACACAATCACCCATGATGAACAAAAACACAAGTAACAAAAACTATGACAGAACTGTGGACAACCACAAGTTACATTGAACCAATGAAGTGAATGTTGATAGATCCCAAAATCAAATCAACAAAAATTACCTCATGACTTGTTTCAGAAAATTAAAAATTAATTTTAGTCCTAAATCAGTGGTTGAAACGTGTTCAAAAAAGCGTTGCACATAGGTATGGCCTTGGAAGGTTCCAACGGTAGAATACTAAGCGTAGCAGAAAAGGTGAACTTGCTAAGTCTAGCAGCAGACATAATACTTTCAGTTGCACTTAGTTTCAATTTCACGAAGTTTAGATGCATTATATAAAGAGCTCTAGAATACATGCTCTGTAACTTGTGGAAGCAGATGCATTGAAAATGAAGTTGCATTGAGTAGGTTTGACATAACATGGATGAAACCAAACAGAAATAATGTGCCAACCTACAGGGGCCTTACCAGAGTGTTCAGCAGGATATAAAAATAAAATTTAAGGTTTTTTTAAGTTTAAAATTTCTAGATCAAAGTTTGTCTAAGAAAAAGAAACCCGATTAGTACCAAATTGGTAGACATTTCCAATCACAAACTCCAAAACCAAATCTCAAATCCAAGTGATATTTCCATAAAATTTATTAATAATCCACTCATAATTTAATAACACATAAGTGGTTGACACCAGGATCACAGTAACATTGTATTCATCACCCGCACACATAAAAGAAAACCCTTTATCAACTCCTGCCACACTGTGATCGTCTCCTGCAACCGCATCTATACATCTTTTGCAGTCTCGCCAACACCAAAGTCGTCTCAGGCGATAGTAATTTCCTCGCTACAAGTGACCAAGTTAAAGGAGAACCAATGAGATACCACCAAGGAATACGCACGGAAATAGGATATTGGAGGTCTTTACAAATTCTCTGGTCCCATACAAATTACGTACAATTAAAAAAAGGTAAGTTTTCCTGGCTGGACACCTCGTTTGCATCAATCAAAACTCACATATTATTTTAACGTCCCTCACGCTATCACAAACCCAACTCACCATGCTCATCTCTGACAGGTTACTCTTGCTACTTGCTATCGAGGGAGCTCGGTTATCCTCGATGTCTCCCTCCTCACTCTCCACCGAGCCACCGTGTCGCGCCGACGTCTCTTTGAGGAAGTGGTCGAGGTACGACATCTGGGACGAGGGTCGCTCCAGAACTGCAAGCGACACAACACAGTAAGCACCCAAGCTACACGAGACATGCACTCTTCACCACCACAAACAGGTAACACAGATAAAATAATGTTATGTAAACATACCTTTCCCATGTTAATATTTAATCTAGGCCTAGTTAAAAAAAAGAAATTGAATTGAGCCAACAGAGTATGCTTATGCTACCATTTGATTTCTTATACACACAATATTCAACAATACAAAACTGAATGAGCAGCTTGTTGTAAACTTCAGTAAATAAACAATAAGTTGACGAGAGACAGCAATAAAAACTAACATGAAATATTAGTTTGCATCACGGTAGATGTGATAATTTTAAGTACTTAACTTAAGGATTGAGTAGTAAGTTGATATTTTCCCCAATTATAATTATGGTTAATATGAATGGATAAAAACAAGAACAATCCCAACCCTATAAATAAAAGTAAAAATAATATAGAATTAACACATATCATAAAAACATATGCACGTTATTTGTAAAAGAAAGTTTGATAGATCAATCAAAAATGCCAAAAAACCTGTAAAAATTATCTTAATTTCCAATATTTTTCAAAAAATGCAACTCATACCACCTGTTAAGACAAAATACTCATGCTTATGGAGAAATGTTGTACCGAGTGTCCACAAAAGATAAAGAACAATTTCATACATTAGCCATACTGTAACTTTTAAACGTACAATGTTCTACCTGTGTTTGTTGCATCACATTAACATCGTAACATTAAACATTAACATCGTATGTTAATGTTTAGTTTTACTTGTAATTTTTGTCAAGATTTTTTATCCGTACTGTATAGATATTGTGACCTAAAATATGAAATGTTTACTGGTAGATTTAATGGCCAGGGTTGGTATACTGGCTTCCTAGTTTCCCCGACATCACTTCTTGTGGCTTTTCCTTATTAGGTAAATAAAGGTCATTGCCTTCTTGTCTAAAACATCTCAGTTAATGAACTGAGAGAGGAAATCATGAAAGCCTTTCTTCAGGAATCCAAAAAACACCATTTCCATTTAAATGCATGTGAAAAATCTGTTTTGGCAAATTACCCTATAGGGAAGTAGCTATTACCGTTGGTGGCACGGTAAGACCTAGGCCTGGAACTGACTTACTTTTTCATTTTGATTTCCCCAGAGGCCAAAAACACCAACCGTTCAAGATGTTTATATATGTGTCCGTGAATGCGATAAATTGAGTCAGTTTTGTCTGATTTTGAAAAATGTTGGTTTGAAGGTGTAGGCAGGATAAACTTTGAATAAGATTGCGAACCAGCATGGTCGGATCATGGGAATGGGGTTGAATGGGGTAAAAATTTGTTTTTCTCTTAATTTTTGACCCTCAAAACACAAAATTTTTCAATATCTTTCTAAACCATAATAAAGAGCTTAAAAAACAAATAGTTTTGTATACTAAAGAGTTTTTGTACAGTTATTAGTTACAAGAATATATAAAAAAAAACATTTATTTATTTTTTAATCACTTCAGGCGAATAAAAATTCTACGAGTCTGCAGATTTGCTGCGGCAGGGGTATTTTAAGCTCTGCTCAACAGGAAGGAAAGCCATAGTAACAGTTTTAAGCAAATGCAGTTTTTACAGGTAAAAACTGAACTATAATTTAAATAAAATTACCATGGAAACAATTTAAACCAGTTGAAATTTAAAACTTAAGACAAGAAGATGCACCGCACGTGAGTCTAGATTAAAATTTTAATGGTGATAATAGTTTTATAAGATTCAGTTGTAGCATTAGAGCACTTCACATTGTAAATTATTATATACCAAGTTATAAAAGAATCTTTTAATACTGACAAGTTCCACAAAAGAAGAATAAGACACTACTTCCCTGTGCATGGACTTAAATGCTAAAGACTACTCAAGTTCATATTGGTTCGGTAACCTAAACGTGGCAAGTGGGTGAGAGTCCGTTGGACTTAGTCACTCAAAACTGTTGCTGTACAGGTAGATGTTGCTGAACCATCAAAGAAGATATGAAGAGATTAACAGAGAAATACTCTTCACTTCAAGACTGAATCAACTGAAAAGGATTATGACCATTATTTAGGCCCTCCTTTAAAGTTTCAATGGAAAAAATCTTAAAAATCCAATAAAAAAATATAAAAAAGTAAACATAACCAGTTTATGATATTTTTTAAATTTTATAGGCTACACAATTATGTATTTTGAAATACTAAACAAAACAAAACAATGAAGTATCATAAACAGTTAGATTCAAGTAGTTTATTGTAGCCAATTTTTTTTTATTATGATAGTTTTAAAGACAAAATTCATAAATTTTATTTAATTATCTATTAACATTTCTGATACGCGGATAAAATGTCATAACAAAACTTTGCGATTAAGCGAGATGGATAATTATTTCAAGTGGCAGAGTACTCCTCAGTCACCCCCATGATTTGGCCCAAATTCCAAATTTGTCAGGGTACCTTAGGAGGCTTTTAGACGATAAACAACTAATGATCGGGTAGGCAATGTATCAAGGACTGTGTCCTTTTTTTGGATTCCGCTTCAAAATCTGTGGTAGCCAGGTGCTGTTGATCAGTGGGGTGTTTGTTGTTGCATTGACTAGTGCCGGAATATCCTCGCTGGAGTGGCGCCCGGCTTGAGGAAGGCCCAATGTCGGCAAACATTCTCTGATGACACTGAATTCCGGAGTCTGAATGACTCAGTCCCTCAGATGGTAGAGGTTTCTGTATACAGAGGGCCACTGAGCGCTGCAGTGGTGGGTGTGTAGGCTGTCTTGGGTTCTGCCCAGATTGTCTGCATATCGCTTCTACTGTTTGATCCCTTTAGGGTGCGGATGTAAAAACCTATGTAATACTCCCTCAAAACTCCCTGATACAGTAGGCATGTTAGGCTCCCAGAGTAGGAACTGAAGATCTGCGGAAATCTCTACTAGTGCCCCTTGACTCCGACCTTAGGGTCGTGATAAGCATTAAGGGTTTCCCCCATGAAATTGGAAGAAAGAAATACTATACATCTGAACAGCTCCCGTAACTCCGACTCCATGGTTGGCTTGGGATAGCATTTATGATTCCCTCAAAGATTCAAGCAAAAGAGAAACAAAGAAGAACAACAGATAAAACGAAACGTCAAAAGTGAAAACAAGGTCCACCACGAAGGAAAGTTTGAACACTCAAGGCGATACACTTGAAAATCACTGGATTGGAAATTAAGAGTCTACAAAGAACACCAGTCTGAAGAAGACCCCAAACCTTGGATCTAGACAAAAAGGTGATTTTCTCAAAAAAAACAAAAAAAAATTGAATATAGTAAGTTATATAAAAGATAAGATAGTAATAATCTTTAATTTCATATTTGGATAGTCTGAAAAATATCTATCTCTCACCCACTGCCAAAATACCTTTACATCAGTAAAGGTTAAGTTTACCAGAACCAATCTACAATAAATATATTTTGTTGCAAATTATGTACTAAATATTGTTTAGGTGTGTCGTAAGGTAATTTAATTACATAACCTCAAACTGTATTACATTTAATGACAAAGTAGCCTGCTGTAGTTTAAGCGTAACAAACTAAATATGTACAGAAATAATAGGTATGAAATACATGTCATAGAGACATACAAGTTTAAAGACGTGGTTCCAAGTTTTTCAAGTAAAAATTATTAAATGCTTTAACAGGTAGAAAATCAAATTTAATCTCTTCATCTTACTGTTTCAGTGAAAATTGTGTGCTTAATTTCACCAATTCTACCAGTTAGGGTCAAAGTGGGAGTTTTCCAATGATAATTCTAACAAGGTGGTATTTTAGTGAATTTCCCATATAGGGAATAAGCTATTAGCGTAGGTCTCACGGTAAGACCTGGACCAATTTACTTTTTAATTTTGATGTCCCCAGAGGCCAAAAATACCACCTGTTCAAATTCATATACATATATGACGTCCATTAGCACGATAACTCAAACAAAAGTTATCCGATTTTGATCGGAGTTGGTTATGTCAGGAAAAAAGGAAGTTAAGTTTGTTTGCCAACCTCGCCTATTGCATCTCTTAATCAATAATTTTAATTTTAGGTCACAATATCTATTCAGATGAGCAAGCTTGCCAACAATTGTCTGTAAAACTAAACAGTCGTTTGAGGCAGAAACTAATAACACAGGTAGAGCTTTGAATGTTAAACAAATAACAATATGGCTTGGGTATGAAATTGTACTAATCATTTTTGTGGACACCCTGTACTTAACGTTATGCCGCATTACAAAATGTGCATGCAAAAATACTTTCAAGGCTTACAATAGTAACAAATACATTTATAAAACAAAAACTTTGTTATAATTTCGATACAATTTAACAGATTGCATCAAGACGATAAAAAATAGGGTCAATATGATAACTTACATAGTACCTAAGTGGAGTACATTAAATTAAATAAAGAATCATAAAATTGTTAAAGTGGCTTATTCAGTTTTCGTTTTACAACTATTCGTGGACATATTTAATAAGTTTTCCGAAAAATGAAATAAAAAACAATCTACTTAAGTAATATAAATTGAAAATATTACACAACCATTTATTAGTAGGTACAGTTCCCTCATAGACAGCAGCTTGTCTAAGACTTTGGCTAAATCAATTGATGATAGGCCTACTGTGTTAGAAGTAAATAAAATATGTCCTTATACATTTAGAGGTTGGGTATAGTAATAATTGTTCTCGTAATTATTTTTTGGCGATTGTAATTTTTAACCATTGATTGAATTTAGTTGAGTTTCATTGTTTAATTTCACACCTTTTAAAATACAGCCAACTATAAACCCCTGGACCAGATCTTCTCTTTACACAACTAAAAATTACGCCTCATAGTATAGGTTATAGTAAAAAGAGTTACATTCATTATATGATCAGTAACACACTAAGTCTAAAAATCAAAGAATCATGCTGCATGGCATCATTATCAGAAAAAGCAATTCTTGACTTTGTAGCATGCCATAGTAAATATGATAGAAACATACTCCGTAAATGTTGAGAAGCTAAACGAATTTCAACACCTGTAATTTAGGCCAACGATTACTTTCATGGATTAAAGTAATGCAGCATATAAATAAAAAAATATATTCTGGACATTTTTTAAATTTGGATTTGACAAAGATAGAATGTTTTCTTTTCATCTATATATAAATTTTTTTAGATCTATTCCCAGTGATCCTAAACTAGATCTAATCCTTGACCTTTTCAATAAATGAAAATATTGTATTTTACATGTAAAACTAAGAAACAAAAACCAATTACTTTAAAATCTCAAATTAAATTAGAGTAAATTGCATAAAACAAAATGTGAAGTACATATTTCATTTATATATTTATAACGATGGTATTACAAATTAAGGTACTTTGGTATTATCCGGAGGCCACTATCTTATTTTAGAGGGATTTTTTTTTACCGGAAACCAAAAATAACTACATAACTAAAAAGAACATACTTTAATTGACTTACTGTCCAAATTTGACATGATTACGATCAGTGGCCTTTGAGCTCTACCTCCCAGAAGGCAATGATGTCAGTGAGGATTGAATTGAATGCGTCGCCACCGCTATACTCCGCCAAGTAGGTATACAGCGCGCTGCGGCGGTTATGTTAGGTTGGGCTATCATAAATATGTTTGTAGGACTTTCCTCGTTTCGTTATGAATCGAATGATACCAGATGAGTCATACTTTCACCCACCAGATACAGACGGTGACAGGTGATGCGCACGCTTCTGTCAACGACCTGACCTTGGCCTACTTAAGAGGATTTGGCGTGCAAAAGTATGTCGTTCGATTCATAACAAAACGAGGAAAGTCCTACAAACATATTTATGATAGCCCAACCTAACATAACCGCAGCAGCGCGCTTTATAGGGTGGCCTCAGGATAATACCAAAGTACCCAAATTAACTTAACGTTTCTATATAAAATCAAACTGCAAGTAAATAAAGTAAAGACTCATTAGTGTTTATGGGAATTAGCGAATAAAAATACAGTGTTATTTTGAACTTTGACTTACACTTTTTTGAAATAATCAATCCCTAAATGTGTTAGTTTAAAAACTTTTGTTAAAACAACACAACAATAAAACACATTTAAAACAGAAAATTGCTTACCGTTGACTACATCCCCAAAGGCTGCAGAGAGAAAAAAGGATAAGTAAATCATGGAATTAGAAACTGACCATAGATCTTAAATTGAAGATGATGTTTTGGACAATCACAAACTCAAAGAGTACAAAATTCTATCGTTGAGTAAAAACAGTATTAACTGCTCTACTATAGTGGAATAGATTACAGAATAGGACCGGAACCAGTTCGAGTCGGGTGGGGTGAGGGCAAGCGGTATCCAATAAACTTTCAGAAAACTGTCCACTGTTGCCAAGTTGTGCCACGCACTCAGTCTTTGCCCGACAGCCGACCTGTGCGTTTCGAGCATATCCTCTTGTTTGGTCAAAAAATCGCCTTAAAGTGTGTTAATAATTCGAAACAGGCCAGTAACAAAGCTACAAAAGGCATCACACTCCATTCTACACTCATATTTAGGTTAAAATACGCTCATAGCTGGCGTCCCCATCTCAAATGAATAATTAATATGGTATATTGTATCCTCTTCATTTCCATGTTTATTTTGTTTCATGTATCAAACAATAAGCTGAGCAATATTTTACAAGATTTTTAGAACTGCTATACAAATTGTTTGGTCATATAAACTTACTGTTAAATTTATTAATTTGATCCTACTAATATTATAAATGAGAAAGTTTGGATGTATGGATGTATGTTTGTGACAAGTGAACGCGAAAAATACTGGTCGGATTGGGCTGAAATTTGGCATGATGATAGCTCACATTCCCGATTAACATATAGGCATATTCTTATTTCAAAAATCCTTTCGGGCTCCGCCCCAGTGGCTCTGGAGTTTCCCATGTTAACCTTATGAGAAATGAAATTATTGAATCTTAACAGCTGTTTCAATTAAACAAGTTGGTTCTGTTCTGTGATGTTCAATAGCATTAAAGTTACAAAAATTACCAACAGGGTGCAGCAGTATTATTTCTTTTACATTTATGACAACAGCTAATTTGCAACCAAAAGGTGAGTGAGCGTAGCGAACGAACTTCAACCTGGAGGCGAGTTAGCGTAGCGAACGAGCTAACCTGAAGGCAAGTGAGCGCAGCGAACGAGCTCCAACCTAAAGGTGAGTGAGCGTAGCGAACGAGCTCCAACCTAAAGGTGAGTGAGCGTAGCGAACAAACTTCAACCAGGACGTGATTGAGCCATGCGAACGAGATAATCTTGAAAATTAAGAAGTTAAACGGGGCAAAGCCCGCGGGTTACAGCTAGTGTTTATATATTTTCAAAAACTGCACCTGGTAGCTGTTTGAGCCATTTTAAAGATAATTGTGTAGCAAATAATCAAACCATAATAATGTATGGGATGAATTTTGTGTTCCATACGATATAAAAATATAACAATACTAACAAATAGGGCCTACCACCAAGAACAAATAAATTATTAATTTGTAGTGTTGATCAACTGAACTACCCTACAAGTGGGACGATAGAGGGGGGTGCCGGGCTCTAGGTGAAAGTCAGCTCACCGGCCAAGAACGAAGTAGCAACGTCGCATCCCCTACCTCTTCAAAGGCCAGTTCTATTCTGTAATCTATTCCACTATAGTATAACAGATTTTTTGTTGAACTCTTCTTCATATTTAACCTTTAGTAATATTCTTGGCAAGGATATCTTGAACAAACGGCACCCCTAATAACTGGATCCGAAAAGGTTCAATTCAAAATCCTGGCCTAGAGCCTTTCCTTGAACAACCGAAGACAGCTTATTTGAATAAAGGACATGGGCATGGGATATATACTATGACGTTGAAAAGTGCATGATCTATATTCAAAATTATGAAAGAAAGTTTAAGAATTAGTAAAAACACATTTTGTTTAAAAATCCTACACTCAAAAATTATTTGTGATCACATTTTCTGGTATACACCATTGAGTTTTCAATGCATCTTTTCCTTAGTTGTTTGAATACTTTACCAATTTAGCTGGACATAAAACATAAATAATTAACTGTAAATAAAATTAAAATGTATTATAACAAAATTTAACACTTTAAATAAAAGTTAGTGTTTAACAACACAACAAAAAATGTTAACACAAGATTTTATGTTGTAGTACACTCAAGATTACTGAAGCGTTTCAAATATTTTTTCTGGCTGGATAAAACAGTACTAGATTCTTTTGCTTGAAATATTAAAAGTTAAAAATGATCATGGTTTTTTTCATTTTTTTTAAAGCTTTTACAATTTGCTTCATTTGTCCAAGTATGTTTAAATAGGTTTACATTGCATCCAACGAACAATCTGGTAATTTAATAAAGTTAGGATTTGTGAAAAGCAAATTTTAAATGACTTTTTGAAAACCCTAACGGCCCTAACTACTTAATATGTTTTTAGATGATTTATCTAACTGTAAATAGCACACTCCTTGATTGGACATCTATAACGCTAACTATACATTTAAACATTAAAGAGTTCTATCAAGAGAACCTAACTATACCTGGCCACCTGAAATGGACGTTTCCATGCATTATAAGCAAAAGCGTGGGCTTTAAGTTTCAACAGGCCGACAAGGGAATAAGTGATATAACAACTGTCCCTTCGATAGATTTAATCGAGGCCACATGAAACGAACAAACTACTGGAATTTTTTCAGATTTTTAAAATTGACGATGAAAGAATAAGCCTTGAACATGCATATTTGAATTTGCTTGGAGATAATAATAAACCCAATTTGTCAAGTAATAGGATTATTTCAACTTTGCTAAATTATTTTACCAACAAGGAGTTTAAATGATTATGAAGGTACTCATCACTTCTTTAGACAACCACAGTACAAACCTTGAAAAAAATTAACATTAACAGTATGTTCACTGTTCAGTAATGTACGAATAAAAACAATTTTTAATGTAAAAAGTTTAAACACATTTATTTTGTTGTATGAAAAAGAGCACCACCGTCTATCTGGTACTAAGGTTAGTTAAGCTCCACAAAAATGATGAAAAAAAAACCAAGAAACAAAACTCAGTTAATTTAAAACAAACCCATCTAAATGACACTAAATCACTTTTTTCACTGCAACAAAAACAAAACAGCAGTTGCTTGGTGTAAGCAACAACCACAGAGGTAAAATCAGTTATGGATTACACCCGATTGAAACAAAAGCAAAAAGAGGTTAACTTAGGTAACTGATAATCAATGCATTTTTTAGTTTTGGGGAAAAATTAATTGATCGTATTCTCGGGAGGAAAAAATATTTAAAGAAAGAAATCAATGGAGTCGGTGATTAAAAACTTGATTGAGTATGCTGACAAACTACAATATTTTACATAATAGAAAGATTTAAGTTTTCAAATTTTACACATTTGAACTAAGACATGAATTAATATAAAAAAATGAAACCAAAACAGTGGATGTATTTCCAAAAAATTAATATTTTACAATGATTTACTGACAAAAAAAAATGGATTGATTAAAAATTTGTGGAAAATAAATAGATAGGGACAAGCTAACTTGAACCCAAGGGACTGTGCTCGAGTCGGCTATTGTTTACTGAATTGATAGCTTCTCTCAAATAAAATTTGATACAAAATTGTATACAAATCTGTCAGCATTTACATATTTTAATTTGCTTCTAGTAATGGAATAAAATATTTAACATAGACCGATTTGTGTAAAATTTGGCACCAAAATTAACAACAATTGTTAGAGAACCAATCAGTAGCGGAACCTGAGAACAATAGCCAGCTAGGATACAAGTCCAATCTTTAAGCCATGTTAGCTTGTTCATGACTGTACTTTAATTAAATATCATAACAAGGAAATCTAATGACTCTGGCAACGTTGAGTGAGGGACGAGATGTTATCGCGTTAGTATCACTGTCGGGGCGGGGGCGCAACTTGCAACGCACACTCTACTTTACCATTAGCGGTGGCCAGGTGGTTTCCCTTATCTCAGAAATACATTCGAATAAGCAGCAGAAGAAGTCCCCAAAGACAGCTGGTGACTCCAATAAACAGGGGCATTTTGTCTACAAATAAACATTTGCATCAACTTCCGCTACAGAAGCTTCTAAAAGGCACGTCCTTGGCGTAGTACTTGAGTCACTTCAAATATTTTTGTCCCCAAATAACATTGATGATGATGAAATAACATGAGTTACGTCAAGTCACTTAAGAAACCTGAGAAAAGTCTGAAGTGTAAAATGTTATATACTGTATTGAATAAAAAGTGATTTTTAGTCATTGAATTATTGTCTTTGAATTTTGAAGGGAGTTTGTATGCATGTTAAATATTACACTAATTCTTCTAAATGAAAAATCAAATTTTTTATTTTGTTTTGTTCAAGATGATATGCATATTTTATTTCTTAAGAATCAAAATTGTAAAGTAGCCACAATTCTGCTTTAAAATTTATCTACTAAAGCTCAGAAGGGTTTGCATAAAAGCCTGAAATAAATCATGGATGAAATAAAGGAATGAAAACCACATAATTGAGGAAGTCCAACTTACATATATTTTTAAATATCCATTCATTTATACAAAATATTATTCACAGATCACGGTTATGCTTGTCCATGTGTTAAAACGATGATAAGGGATAAACATTGAGATTTTTCAGGAATCCAAATAAGGCTAATTCTTTCTTAGCTAATTTTTTTCCAATCTCTCTTATTTTTGAATGTAAATATGACAACATAATAAAAAAAATTAAATTGGTGTTTTAAATTTGTTTACATTAACACAAATTTAGGTAAACTTAGGGATTTTATCATGTGCTGCTATGTTTTGGTGAATTTCCCCAATAGGGAAAAAGTTATTACCTTAGATGAATTCTGTAAGAACCATAAAACAATTTATTTTTATGTCTCCAGGGGCCCAACCAATTTTGTATATTGAAGCGTTGTTGTAGAATAAAGGGCTACATAGAAAATTCCAAGAAAACTGAATATTTAAAATTGCCATTTTGTTCTTATAGAGAAAAAGTAAACCCTTGTAGTTTGCTTAATTATTTTGATCAATTTAGGCAAATTTATTTCTTTTAGACTATACTATTAACATTTTACAAACAAAAGGACTATTTCCCTTCCCTGTAAACAGCAAACCTAGGTCATGGTTAAACCTAATTCTATAAATAGGGAATAAATCCAAAATATTTAAGGAAAAATGTTAGTAAAAATCCAATCAGGCAATTTTAAAATTCCTTGGTCTGCAGGAATGCTGCAGCGGGGGTATTTGTAGTAATAACAAACCCAAATATTGAACCAATAATAAAACAGACAATTATTAAGCCAAAGTTTTTGGGTATCAAAGGAGAAATTAACAACAAATAAACCCCATTTTAAATACCGACTATTGTTTATAAAGATTTCTTCTTACCAAGAATTGACATACAAGAATTAAGTTATATCATTCTCGTTCTTTCTTTTTCTAGATAATATCCTGAGAAAAAACCAATCATTTTAAATTAACCATAAACTATACAACAGATTAATATAATTACACTTGGTGAATGGAAAATAAAAACAAAGGAGAGAGAAAAACTACAAATGTAAACAAAGTTTATTTCTAAAATACTGTAGAGGATATATATAATATATATTATTAATATCTAGTTCTAGCAGTAGTCTATTGTACATGCACTATTTTATAGAGTTTTGAGAAAAAAATGGAAGGAGACAAAATTACCAAAAGTAAATAAATAATTGTAACACCTTCAACGAATCACACCACAAGGTTAGTTTTTTTGATATTACCTTTACTATAAAAATAATTTAATGTTTGGTGAAAAAATACATGCAGCATCACAAAAAGTCTATACAGTAGAACCTCGATTAACCAGGAGCGGACCAACCGGGTGGCGGATCAACCGTAGTTAATATACGCCTCTAAAATTATGTTACATAGCTAACCTCATTGTTCAAGAAAAAATTTTAAAATATGTTTCTTTAGTTGTTTATTTATTTGTAGTAGGCTCCCACATTATTGCTTTTGAAACATCACAGTTCATTTGATAAATAAAATGGAAGCAAGACAAAGAAATATTGATCGGTAGCTTCAAGGTCAAGCTATCCATCCATTGACATTCTTCTGTCCTGAAACAGCATGTAGCACTAGCCTATGACCAGCAGTAGGTACTTGAATTTCTTACGTTCTGTTCTTTATGATTAATTGATGTACAGTGTTTGCATTTTTTTATTTTCTTGAGTAAAAGTTTTAAGAAGCTGTTATTTTAAACGTTACAGTTTCTATTACAAAACCAAGGTTGATGACTTAACATGTCATGATTGCGCAGTTTTCTACTAATTGTATTTTGGTGATTTAATATGCAAATTTGCAGTTTTAGGCTTTTTTTATGGGTTTGAAATATTTTTTTATGTCATGTTGGTAGGGGTGGGCGAGTACTCGACCTTCGAGTAATTACTCGAGTTTTTTCAAATACTCGACCTCGAGTCGAGTAGTAATTACTACTCGAAAATTTCGAGTCGAGTAGTTATAAATAGTGCCAATTCACGATTTTCTACATCCATATTTAATAAATTATATTTTGTTTTGTGTTGATGCCTTATTTAATCCCCATTCCTACAAAAAACAACTATCTAACCTCATATAGGTTAGACCAGCGTAAACCAAATGTTCAACAAACACCCATCGTCATTCGGCAGAGCTAGCAAGAGGACTACTACTACTAACAACAGACTTTCACTTTCCTACAACAGTCAACAATACGTCTCGATAACGATACAGTAAGTTGAAATAAAGCATTGAATGAATCTATCGAATTGCAATAGTCGATAGTCAACAAGGGAGTCTCGTGACTAGTAGGCCTAACAATGGCAGACGATTCTTGAAGATATTATAAAGTACAGTATCAGATTTAGTTTGAACTGCCATAAAAATGTTTTATACCAAAATATAGAAATAACAACATATTTTATACCAAAATATAGAAATACAACAAATAAAAACAACCTATTGTAGCATAATATTTTTTTCAAATTAATCGGTATTGGTGTTTAGTTTTACAAACCGATAAGTTACTGCAAGGAACATCGATGCATCTGAATGACGCAATCTCATTGGGTCTAGGCAAATGGCAGAAAGAAAAGATCAGTTCCACTTTAAACTCAGTGTTGCCAGATGGACGATAATTTTTGTACTTTTACAACTGTGGTATTGGCGTACACAAACTATAAGTATAATTTTCTAATGAGTTTACATAAACATGATTTAAATTAGTCAAACTATTAACTTTTTTTACGAAATAAAAGCTATAACAATTTTATGATAATTTTGCCGACATTCACCATAATGGTGTAATGATAAATATGGCAACGTCAGCCCTGCAAAACAGCTGTTTGATGGGAAAACAAAGCAGAAGCAGACAGCAGGAGCAGACCGACTAGAGAGAGAGAGAGAGAGAGAGAGATAAAGATGGTGACGCATAGCAACAACAAGAACAAAACAAAACAATGGATTGGAGTGAAGTTATGTCAACGTCAGTTTTGAATGTTTTTACTTTGAAGTGAATTTGTAACTTAAAAAAATCAAATTGATTTTGTTAGTGGAAGTTTAATAGAAAGTAAAATAAACATATTCTGTTTGTGATTTTGATTGTGCAATTTTCAATCTGGTGGTAGAAACATGACAACTACAGTTTGAATTGTAACTTAACCTAGAAAATGTGAGTTTAAAAAGAAAGGCCAGATAGGCTATAGTGAAATGTGTTTTAATTTTAAATTAAGTGTTTAATGTGGGATTTTATTTCGAGATAATAGGCCTACTATGTTTTTATTTGATATTTTCAGTCTGTCAGAGACGAGTGACTTGATCATTTTTATAAATGTACTGAGTGAAGAGGATAGCCCTAGTACCCATAACCTTCAAACTTCAGACAGATGAAGTGCTTATCCAAGTGATTACCTATTTTAAAATACCTCATTGATGTTTTTAACTTGTGTTACAATATGTAGTTTGATATAAGTTTTCTGTTAAATAAATAAATTTATTTTTATAAATTCTGTTTCTTATTTGAATTGAAATTATTCTTAAAGTTAGGTACCTTATTAAGTTAGTTAGTTAGGTTGATTATCATGTTAGTGAGGAGGAATTAAAGGCAAGAAAAAATAAAACACACAATAACAAGTGATGTGTAGGCCTAAATAATTTAATGCTGCAGCCATCAAGTAGTCTAGGCCAAATTTTGTATTAGGCCTAAGGTAGGAGGTACTAATAATTAGTAAAGTAACCATATAACTTAGAAAATTTGGTATAAATACTTAAACTACCTATTTAGGCCTAGGCAGGGTTTAGGCTAGGATGAAATTTTTTTCAGCAAAATGCTGCAAACTCTCTGCAAAGACAAAAACTAAGTTAGGCCTAACTGTAGAAAAAATATTATTCAATAACTTAAGCATTTAAAACAAAAAATTCCAGTAGGCTAATATTACATTTGTTTGAACATTACATCTTTCAATTTTATTTGTAGAAAATTTGCCACAGGCCTAGCCTGTAAAACAATGTAAACTTTGCATTTTTAAGTTGTAAATAGCAAGATGCTAAAAATACTACCGCAGCATAAACCCTGGGCCTTGGCCTACTTAACGCGCAACTACTCGACTCGACTCGATACTCGAGTTTTTACTCAAATACTCGACTCGACTCGACTCGAATTGAAAAATCACTACTCGCCCACCCCTACATGTTGGATTAACGTTTCAGTTATCCGTGGTCTCCCTCCCCCCAATTACCCCGGATAATCAAGATTCTACATAGGTACCACTAAATTTAAGATATAACTTCAGAAGATCAACCACTTAAATACAGTACTAGTCAGTGGATATTGTGAGAATATGTCAGAATTGCTGAGAATTGTAAGTATAAAAGCGTAACAGCTTTAAATTGATTTTTACAGTAACAAAAGCACAGTACTCAACTAAGGATTGTGTAATAAACACCGTTATGAGATGGAAACAAGTAAAATATTAAGAGAAGTTTAGAATTGTTTTGAACGAGATAACTTTATTTTGCTTTTCAATGGGTTATTATATTTATCAAGGTGTTATTTAAAAAACAAGTTGGATGATATCAATACTTTATTTATTGATAAAAAATTACAATATTATAGCAATACATAATTAACTAAAAACTGAAACTCCTGAAAAATAATTTTCTGTCTTCGAGAAATAAGAAAAACTAAATAAAAATAATTTATTGGGAAGAGAATATAAGTGATAGTAAATTTTGAGAGTGTAGAGAAAAGATTTAAATAAAATAAACAGAATAGAAGACACAATTTCCTAAGATTTAGGATGGTTGTTGAAATAGCAAACTTATCTGAATGGAAAAGAGACCATACTGGAAACTTTCACTGTACACAATTAAAATAAAATATTTCACCATACACAGAATTCTCTACAAAGGAAGTTTTAGTTCAACATTACAATGTCATCTGGTCCAAGATGACTTCGGAGTTGTGAAATATGTAACTCATTGTGTACAAGGTTTTGAAGTCTTAGACCAAAACTCATTCTATTCCATTCAGGCAAGCCTGTTAACCCAACAACATTCCTTACAAAATAATTTTGGTTACGTTTTTTTTAATAGTAAAACCAACCTAATGTTTCCCTAAAAGACAATAATTGGTTTCACCGAATACTTAGAAAACCTCTTAATTTACAAGTATGGAAGTATTCCACACAATTATTCTACTCATTTAATCCAACTGAGTATATATCACACCACAAGTTATAACTGAGTACCACTTACTATCACAGTTTACATTACTCTTTGACTAGCTTTAAGTAAGAATCCATTAGGTAAAATGACTAGAAGTTGTTACTAAGTGTCCGTTGACTATAGGCCTACAGCAAGCAGCTACAACTACAGCAGAGGCGAGAGCATGCAAGCGTCTTTACTCACATCCTTCGCCTGAGTCCAGACGACCTTGTAACTCCTTAATCTGCATCTCCTTGCGCTTCAGTTCGTGAGAGATGCTGTCGTAACGCTGCCTGAAGTCTCGCAACTCTCTGTAAACACAACTTGGTTAATATACAATTACACAAATACTTGTCAATTGGAATATGTAACAAAATTCATCGTGTTCCTGCTAATAAGTCTCAATAATCCTTGTCTCGTCAGGTAAATAATTTGTTCTTACACTTGCTCTATGTTTCCCTTCAGCATTTTAAACAATTAAATAATTAAACCTGAAAAAACTGTGACAAACTCTTTTTTAAAGGAACTGGGTTTACTGAGGGAAAACCTGAGTAAGGGGCCAAATATACACAAGTAGGAACTTTTCATAACATAATTCACTTAATATCCGTTGTCCGGATTAGTTATTCAGGGTAGCCACACTACCCCTAGAAAAAATTAAATTTTTCCCAGTTGCCAGGTGGGACACCTTTTTACTATGTGTCAGTAGCTCCCCTAGCTCGGGTTTAGTCGAGCTGAGCCAATCGTATATTTCCGTGATCGAGAAAAGTATTTGAGAAGACACGCGATAGAAAAATGAACAATTTCGTGGTGATCACAGGTGATGTTCACGATTTCACCATGACCTCAGAAGATGTTCTCAATTTTGGCTGTGAACGGGTAAAACGTTCACGATTTCAGCTTGTCAACCAGATGTTTCTGTTTCAAGACCAGCCACTAAATTTCACTCATTGGGACAGGCACATTTGGCTTTTCTTGTTAGTTCTAGGTTACTGTAACCGCTAGTGTGACTCATTGCCGCTACATCTTACACAGGTTAGGTTTACAGTAACATTCGGTTGTGATCTAACCCTAGCAAAAAATTAACAATAGGTTTTTTCGAATGATAAAACCGCGTAGATGAATGTTTTCATTTTCCGTTTCACAGCAACCTCAACCAATGAAGGACTTACTTCTGAGAGGCCACCAGATCAGATCTGGTCTTGCTAAGCTCCTCACTGATAGCTGTCTTGGCTTGTATCTCTGACTGAAGGCTGCTCTGTAGATTCAACAACTCCATCTTCTCAAGCTTCTGCGACCGACGATTCCTCCAATTTTTGTCCTGGGAATCAAACAAGTTAATCAACAGGATTAATCCATGGTCTTGTCCTAAGTGATGATATAACTGTCAACGAGGAAAACAACCTACTTACTGATTGCCAAGAAAAAAACATTGTTGATCAAATGTATATTACTTGTACATTCCATTTATTACCTCCCATTAGGGACTCCGAAAACATGGTTAATGTATCTTGACAGATAATATTTGATTACAAATGCCAATAGATGTTAGTAAATATTGGTTAATGGAAGGATTTTCTCAAGATTAAATCCTAAGCGTAGCTTTTACTCCAAGTTTTAAAATACAGGTAAATAGTGCTTTTAACGTACACGGTAAAACTTCAATACTGAAATCCTAAGCAATAAGGGTGGCTTTTGGCAAATTCAACCTCCAAATCTTCAGATATTGTAAAAAAAGAACTTCATAACTCATAAACTTCATAATCTTCATAACTTGGTAGTACGAACCTATATCAGAATTGAGCCTTAACAACGTCCCACTTTAAAATTGAACCCCCCTATTGTTTCTAACAAGTTTACGCTGATTGTCAGTAGGGACTTACCGAGGTGGGGACGTTGGCTATGCCAGCATGTTTTAGGAACTCTAACTCTTCAGTCATCTTGGTGGCAAGTGCTTGTAGATAGCCTCTCGCATCCTTCTCATCACTCACCCTGAAATGTACAATAGTTGGGTTTGTACAAGACTTCATTTCAACTACTACAGCTACAACATCTTATAAAGAAAATTTACTAGACAATACTCTTACTATAAGTTGTGCAGTAAAAATATCTAAAAGATTTAACTTACATTTGTTTTTAAAAAATTATATGGTAATAATTTGGCCAACATAATGCACATATTTAAACAATAAAAAAATAATTATAATTGATCTAAATCTAAAACAAAATTAGGTACTAAATACAGTAAAGTAAAATATTCATTAAATATTGTTTTAGAAAAGTAAATAATTTTGAAACGTCAAACTCAACTCAAGAAAAATCCATGTTGCTGATGATTGATTTTAAATTTTTTGGAATTTAACATAAATAAAAATATATGTGACAAAAGGAGGAGAGCCCTCTCCTATAGATGGGTTTTAGAGAAATAACCTACTCTGAAAAGTCCTACATCTGGACGAAATATCATTTTTATTTTGTGTAACTTTCTAGGGAAACAATAAACTAGATATTTTTATGTTAATATATTCCATTTTCACTTAAGTTAGAATGGTACTTTCCTGTTAAAGGGAACATTCATTATTATCGATGATTTTTTCTCGATATATCGATTTTAACAAATTGAAACATATTAGCTGACAACTACGATAAATATTGTTCTGTATCAACAAACAATAATGAAATGAAACTGTTATAAAAAAATAACCTAACCAAACTTGCTGTGTAACATTTGAAAATTCCGTGTTTAACTTGCCTATTCTGTTATCAAACGGAATTTTTAATTGGTACAGCAAGTTCGGTTGTTATGTTAGGTTATCTTAGAACAGTTTCATTTCTTAATCCATATTTTAGCCTAAACAAGATCAGTTGTCAACTTGTGACAATCGGAAAACAAAAATATCGATATATCTAGAAAAAAAATCATCGATAATAATGAATGTTCCCTTTAACAGGAAAGTACCGTTAGAATTTATTTTATCTACACTAGACCTAGAGTAGAAGAATATCAGTAACTTACCTGACAGATTAGTCTATGGACTAAAAGGTACTTATAACACTAAAAAATATTATATAAATAAATATTAACAAAAGTTGTTACCATTGTATGATCTCTGTAATCTGTGCCTCCCACTGAGCTATGGCCTCTTGTTTGGTTCTCAATTCCTCGTACTCATCTTCTCTTAACCTCCTCTCCGACTGCAGCCTGCTCAGTTCATCACTCATCTGCAAACAAGCGTTAGTTAATCTTCTAACATGTATTAGTGTCGGATCCAGTTTATTGTTACTTGCTAGTATATTATAGATAGTTTAGTTAGTTATAGTTTGTTGTTAGTATATTATAGATTATATTGTACTTCTACTTCGACCACAGCTTTTAAATAAAATATAAATGGGTTGATTATGATTCATCAAAGCCTTCAATAACAATCCCCATGAATCTCCCGCAACCATTTCAACATCATGCTCATTTCCCTTTCAGCAATGTGGTGAATCTTTGATTCGGCAATCTTCTGTGATCGCAAAAATTTAATTTATAGCCATCCTGGTGCTAATATAATTTAAATCCAACAAAAATCACCAATAAGCTCGAGGGAAGAGGCTATTATTGTGGTGTATAGATTCTGTCTTCCCAAAAAATCACTACATCTTCACAAAACCCTGTAACCACAGCTCTTGCACGTAAAAAGCCATAGGAACTGAAACAACTCGTACCTTTTCCACCTCCAGAATGAGATTCTTGTTCTCCTCTAGCAGCATTAGTTTGTCTCTATCATGTCGTCGAGACAGCTCTGCAATGGTCTCTTCACTGTCTGTTAGATTCTCCAGTCGTGAAGAGTCCAACTTATCTTTGGCCATTTGTACCTGAGTAAACATTTAGCCATTTTTAAATCGTTCAGGAAAAATATAGGCCTACCTACCTTTCAATAAATCTTTAAACGTAACAAATAACAGCCAAGCCATATTACCAAATGTTACCAGTCAAATAATCATGTAAGGGTTTAAAATTACTTTACTAATATTCATAACAAATTTATAAAAATGTATATTAACAAGAAAGCCCCCTTGTAATTTTGAACATCAAAAACATTTCAAATTTTAATTACTGACACAATGTTTGCAAGTTCTTCTACTGATTTAATACTAACATGGCTTTGGGAAATATTAATTTTATAAGTATTTATATGGTTTCGTAGCAGTAGCACACTAAATTACTGTACAGTAAATTCAAAAGTTTGACATAAGCTTTATTTCAACTGAGACTATAGAGAGTTACTGGAAAAACAAGTTACATTTTTGGCCAGATTTATTTAGTTTCTAAAGCTCCAAAATATCGTGTTCTAGACTAACTAATAAGCTTACGACTAACTAACAAAGTCTTACTTACTTTGAACTAGATTTCCCAACGAAAAACGAGAGCAACACATAGATAAATATATTAGCTTTATATTAAGTTGCATGTAATAACAATAATCACACTACACTTTGGGGTAAAATACAAACTTAGTTAGATCCAGTACACCGAAAATATTTAATAATGTTTTCAGATGTTATTTAATATTTTAAACTCTTGGGAATATATTTAATACAAGTATTCTTTGGTTTATGGATGGGTGTAATAACATAATGTTCTTTAAAATACATTTAAATATAAAAAAATGTTCACCCTCAATTTTCCTGAAAAGATATGAAATTAAAGTTAGTTGGATGAAGAGAGGTCCATTTTGATTTTTAGCTGTTTAAAAAGTTCCAGCGAGCACCTTTTAAAAGTCCTTGGAGTCTAGACACTCTAACTCCTAAAACAATTAAACAACTGCAAAGAAAATGTCTAATCTCACAGTCAACTGGATAGGCCTATTTAAATTAAATTACAATCACTTTGGAATTTGAACAAACAATATTTTGAGATGGTAAGTAGCTCCTTAGAGACTCTTTAAAATTATCCAAGATGGTCGCTAGCCTCCAACGACTCTTACACTTTTAATTTAAGTTACTGAAACTCTAACTTTTTTTCAATTAGCTGTTGAAGTTTATACGGATGAAACTTACATCACAGAACTTTCCCCATGTACAATAAACCCGTAAATAACCAAAACAAAAGGGAGCAAAACCGTTTAGGATAACTTATTTTTTCGGTTGTTTGCTGTTGTCTTACTCAACTCATAACTGAATACAGAAACTTATTTCTTGCCAGTTGTTTTCTGAACTTTATCTGTAACACTACAAAATCCATATCCTAATCTGATCCTTTACATTTACTGATGTGGCGGCAGTCAATTCCCGTTGCCTACCCCAGTTTATAATTTCTTAAATGCCTATGATGGTATAGGTTTAACAGGGTAGGGTTGAACAAGGTTTCCTGTATGTACACTATATAATACTTCAGTTAACAAGTTCTGGGAATGAATTTCTGTAGACATTTAGCACGATGGCCACCGGGAAATTCTCCTTACAGTAGTTGGTACGACTCCTGGGGAGGGCATTTTGGTAGTGGGGGTATAGCTGACGAGCCGTAGTCTAGCTTTGGAAAGTGCTTTTCGTGGCAGTCAGTGACATTAACATTGAGCGAAGGTACTAGTTGTGCGTGAAAATTGGAAATTAAAAATCGATGAAATTTTACTTGTTCAATGTTTACGTCATTGACTGCTGTTGAAGGACGTCCACTACGAGAGTCATCGTCAATACTTTAACGGCCTTCACAAAACCGTTTGTGCCACTCATAAACTTGACATTTCTTCATTGCCTCTTCTCCATAAGCTTGAATAAACAACTCAAGAGTCCCGCTAGGTGGCTTTTTAAAGTAAAACACATAACTTAATGTTAGCACGCTGTTCGTTAAGTTCCATTTTTCAATGCAGGTACATGACCGACAGTAACCGACAATGTAGACTTGCAGCAGGTACACAAAAAGTAATGATGTGTCAAAACCGAATCTCAAATCTCAAAACCATCAAAACTTAGGAAAAGGTTCGGTTTCAAGATTCGATCACCAAGTTTCGAGATTCAAAAGTTTTGAAATTCAAGATTTTAGCAGTTTTATTTTTGAAACTGCTGACATTTATTTGTGCCATTGTTATTGTTTTTAACACTGTTTCCAAACAAGCTGGTAGCAACAGAGCAAACATCACCATTAATAGTAATGAAACAAGTAAATTTTATTCTGAACTTCAAAAGGTATCTTAAATATAGGGGTCTGCGGGTCAGACTTTTTTGATTCGGGTCGGGTCGGGTCGGGCCGATAATTTTGGTCCTCGGGTTTCGGGCCAAAATCGGGTCGGGCCAAAAATTATTAATTACCAAATTTTTTTTCTTTTTTTAACTCTTATCTGTGTTTATAATATTACTTGAAAATAATATATGGAAAAAGATTGTATTTATGTATATTATTTCATGTTCATAACTTATTTACAGCTTAGGAGTTGCCTCAACTGCAAGAAAGAAGAAAATAGTTTTTTTATCAAGCCATTCTTTCCCATTTTCATAACTGTTGAAATATCTAAACAGCTATATTACAACAAGTTTGTAATGGAACTTAATATAAATGGATCATAAACAAATCAATTAACCTTATCACAAGTTTAGGGCCTGTGGACTGGCTTCAAGACTGCAAGCAAGAAGAAAATAAAAATTCTATGTTTCCACCATGCAATATGAATCATTCATTCCCTGCCTCCTAACCTCCAAGTACAAAAACCTCACACTTACAATAGCATTATTAGTTACATCATCATAAATAAAGAATTATCTATTATTGGCATTAGTAGGCCTACAGCTTTACATTGGAATTATTTTTTATAGGGCCTAAAATAGTAATAGACTAAGCAACATGACAAGTGGAGAACTCATTGAAGAAAAGATATTGTGTTAACTAATTTACTATAAAACTCTAAAACAATAAATAACACACATACATTGTTTATGGTATAGTTATAGTAAAGACTGTAAAAATTGCATATCATGTCATACACAGTTATAGATACACAGTTATAGGCACAGTTATAGGTATTGCAAGAGATTAAAATCCTAAAACAACTGATTTTAGATAATAAATGAAAAGAATTAAAAATCCATAAACTCAAGTCAAACAATATCACAATTATTAGGTACTTGAAAAGGAACTCTTAATATAGAAAGTTATATTAAATCAAGAGAAAAGAAAGTTAAATGCTAATTTGGCAACATAAGCAGACAGCAGAGACATTATAGTGCCCTAATTAGCAACACAACTCAAATGTTTTTATACTGTAAGTCAATGTTTTTGAAACTGTAGGGTCTTTTTCTCGGAAGGAAGGGTAGTAGAATGTAAACAAAAAACCATGAATCACTCTCACAGCCGGGCCCGGGACACTCAAGGTTACAGACCCTCCCCCTCCCCTCCCCTCCCATCTTACACAACCCGAGCCAGGCCCGTGGACACTCAAGGTCATAGACCCTCCCCCTCCCCCTACCACTATTACACCACCCGGTTGTTCCAATTGCTGACAAAATACAAGTAACAAAACAAGGAAGTAGAGACAAAAAGATATATTTTCTTTATTCAAAAATATAAAACTGTTACAGATAATTTCCAAAGAAATTAATTCATGGTAGTTTGTGTCTTGTAAATATTGTATTGGATCTTAGAAATATCTCTTTTGAAACTCAATCTAACTTAAGAAAAAAATAATTTTACTGATGAAAACTTTCATAAAATTATAAAATATTTAGGCCTAACCTCTTTGTAGACTTGTTGATACTTGATACTTAAAAAAAAAAATTAAATGGTGACCATAAAATGCCGAACCAGACGATCAGAAGTGTTGTTTTGTTTTGTTACTGAATGGCAAAAAGGACAATAGGAAAATAAAAGAACAAGATACAGATCTGTACACTATATCAGATATTTCTTTTGTTTATAATTTATTATGTAAATAAAATACTAAAATATAATTTAAACTAGGTATGGAATAAGCAATAAATAATTAAACTGGTACCTCTGGATAAATAGTCTTTCTTTTGACTTCGTTTCTTTGCACTGTTGCGTCACGGCTTTTGTTTTGTCAGTAGACGACTGGCTCTGGCTAGTGACAGTAAGGCAATAATTGCTCTGTTGTGTCTTTGTTCATAAACGTGAGCAAACTTAATATTTAATTCTAATTTTAACATTTTAATTCCTCTGTAATAATGTATATAAGAGTGTTTCTTTGAAAATTACTTATTATAACTTTAAAAATAGCCTAATAATTATTTTTTTTGGCCTGACCCGATCTTGGCCCGAACAAATCTCTGACCCGACCCGGTCTCTCGGGCCTTCCGCTGGCCCGACCCGACCCGAAAAAATCGGGGACCTGCAGACCCCTACTTAAATAGGTACTCTAACTGGTACAGTTCAGTTTCACATCAATATTTACTAAACACAAAGAAATATTGAACCACTACATGTTCTAATTAATCTAATATTCATGTTTTGTTTCTTGTTAGAAGTTTAATTTATTTTTTTTGTTGGTCGTTTATAAAAAAATTATGTTGTATTGGGTTTTAAGATTATCAGTCACATTCACATACTGTATTTTATGTTATGTCATGGTCAGGAGGAGTCGATCTCTTTCAGTTTTGATTGCATACTTAAAATTTTATGATTATGTGTATTTTTTGTAACCTTGACCTTTGTAACCAGCTAAGTAAAAAAGTTTCGCGTTTAGGTTTTGAGATTCGAGATTCGGGATTCAATTTTTTAAAGTTTCGGTTTTGAGATTCAAAATTTCAACATCACTAACAAAAAGCGTTTTCCAATTCTAAAATTTTGTCAATGCTAGACTACGGCTTGTCAGCTTTGACCCCCACTACCGAAATGCCCTCCACAGGAGTCGTACTAACTACTGCAAGGTGAATTTCCCGCTGGTGATCGCACTAAATGTCCTTAGAAATTCATTCCGGGAACTTTTTGACTGTTATATGTATTAATATATTATTCTATAGAAATGTCAGCATACTGGTAAGTGCATAGCCTACCTCTCTCTCCAGCATCTCCCGGTGTCCCTCTGCCTCCGCAAGCTGCTCCCTAAGACTGGCAATCTCTATGCTGTACCTCGCCTGCTGTTGTTGTAGAGACTCCTTGTATTGCACCTCTAACCTCTCCACTTCAGCATTCAACCTGGCTATCTCCTGTGAGTGGGTGTTGGGGGACATGGTCAGACTGTCTGTACTGCCGAGAGGCAAGTCTCTCCTCTGTTGCCTCCACCTCTCAGTCTCTTGCTCCATTTGTCTGTCAAACATAAGTGTGTGATCACAAGGAGGAATTCAAATGCTGTTGTTTTCTGCAACTCAAGTGCTTTGTGATATTTAACACTTCCTTCACTCTATATTTTCAAATGTTTAATATTTGTTCATAAAAATATAGATTTAATTTTAAATGAGCAGCACAACCATGATTACAATACTTGATTTTATAGGTCAACTACAATACATAGTTTATCGATTGAAACTATTTGAAAATACCCATCATTATATAGGTAAAATAAATTACAATATCATACCAACTCAAGTCAAAACACTCGATGTTAATAAGTTTGAAGAAAATGTTAAAAGTTGGCTAATTCAAGGTTGTTATTGTTACGAAGTAAAAGATTTTTGAATGATAAACCTAGCGCATATTTAGGATTATAGACAAACAGAAAAGAAGTTGGTTTCATTTGAAAACAGAATTTTGAGAAAAATATGTGGACCTGTAAGAGGGGGGGGGAAGGATGGAGAATAAGACATAACCAAGATATAAGAGACATGTACCATTCCCCAGACATAATAGGAGGAGCAAAGAGCAGAAGACTAAGGTGGGCAGACTAATGAAGTATAGTTTTTAGTTTTTGAACAGACAATTTCAGCTGCTCACTTACAACAACTGTATAGTTTGAAAAATGATGTGAGTGTTGTGTTAAAATAGTACATTCCTATCTTAATTAAGATAAGATACTAGTTCCTTTCGTCACAGTTTTATGGGTTTCCTTCTGAGTAAATTCAAGTACTAACCAAGGCCAGGGTACAAAAGTTCCTAGTTACCTGCAGTATTCCTCACTCCGTTCTCTCAGCTTGCGCTCCTTGCCTGCCTCTGCTATCGCCTCCTCCACCCTCGCCTCCAGCTCCCTCCGTAGCTTCTCCGCCCTCCGCATGTCTTGTCTGAGGGCGTCCACCTTGGCCATGGCCACCTCCAGCTCTTCCTCTTTGTCCCTCACCAGCCGAGACACCTTCTGCTTCTGTTGTCTCAGCTCTGACAATCTGGTGGACAACATCGGGTGAATACTTGACAGTTTGAGTACTAATTGTAGCATTTACTAAATAAAAGGTTGCGGTATTTTTTTGGATTAGGCCAGGGTTTATGGATTTTTTGGTGGATAGTTAAACAACAGGCATACCTAACTGACAAATAGATTAGACAAATAGGTACCGGTAAGCAAGTAGGTCGCTATCCCGACGACATTTCCCGCAATCGTAAAGACGTCATTATCAATCTCCCGGCAGCGCGATATTGCTGCCCATTGGAAAAAATACCGCCTTAGAAAATTCCAAATGAAATGTAATCTCGTCCTGATGATCGTGAATATATTTTCCCTGAAAATTTCCTAAAACTTCAGGGCCTCTACTTTTTTCAAAAAACCTTTGCTCCAAAAAGGTAAAAGGTTTTCGATTTTATCACTAACTAGGATATATAAAATTATCCCTTTCCAGAAACATGAATACATTACAAGTATCATCATTTAGCTTGGGATATGGCTACCATCCTACAAGTTCTAGAGCTGTAAATGTGATTTTTATACTTACTTATCAGTGACTTCAGTGTATTCCGACATTGCTAATTTACGTTGACTTAAAGCATCTTTCAATTCTTTATCCTGAAGTTTCAGTTTCTCCAGCGCATCTTGTTTTTCCTGCCAAACAATTTGAATTTGAAATTAAAAGTGATATAAATAAATATATAAACATAAATATAATAAATATATCCAACATGTAATAAGATGTCATGTATGAACAGAATTCACAGAAAGAAGCTATTAATTGAATTGCTCTACCATCTCAGCTCTGTTAATGGTAAGTTACTGTTTTAACAATGACACAGGTCTTGGTGTTTCAGGGTTTTCATACTTTTTTAGCAAACTTTCCTATAGGGAAGAAGCTATTACCGTAGGTGGCACAGCAAGATATAGACCCGGGATCTTTTTTTTTATGTCCCCAGAGGCCAAAATAATATTCATCAAACGTTTTTATATGAATGTCCACTGGTTTAATATATGTGTAAATAAATGTGATAACCCGATGATTTTGATAAATAGTATTTTGACATTTAAAAAATAGCATTTTCAAATTTGTATCTTTAAAATCCAATTTTCATTGAAACTATCACCACGTAGAGCTTAAAAATTATACATTTTAAGCAATAAACTAACTGTTTAAACTCGATGCCATATTTGTCACTGGGCTATCAAGTAACAATGTTATCTTACAAAAGGTCAAGGTCAGACAGTAACATGAACAGAGCTTGGACAGTTCCCTTACTCTGAATATAAAATACCAGAGTGTCCAATGTCCCATAAAAATAAAATTCAAGGACAATTCCAGGTTTTCCGGGATCAAAATTTCTAGTTAAAACTTCTAGTTAAAGTTTCTTATTAGCACCTAGGTACTACTACATTTAAATTTGTAAATACCTAAATTAACTTCAATTCTAGATGGAGTTAAACATATAAACAATCTTAAGCCTATGACAAATAAGACCATTAGAATATTCCAATTAAAATCTAAATAAAAAATCAAAACTAACAAGCAAGTGGATGGAACTAAATAGAACGTACCAAATTATCAAAAATTACATCATAAGGAGGAATTAAGTTGCAGTTAAACTGACCGATTATAATCTGGCAATAAGAAATACATGTTTTGCATTGTGGTTTTCATCATTGCTTTAATCGAAGACAATAGTTATAATCGAAAAACCCAGGATTGTTGGCAGATTTAGTTAGTGACTATTCAAAACGTGAAATGCTTTTGTCTCATAATTCACACACAACACAAGGTACAGTTACATATTATTTCTTGGACATCAAAATCCCCATCCAGGTTTCCAGGTCTTCTTCCTAAATGCTAACAGATATGTAATCTTTGCTAACAGTAACACACAAATAAACTCACCTTCTGAGCCTCTTCCTTCTCCTGTTTGAGTAGCCTGAGGCACTTCTCAAGTTCTCGAGTCCTCTGTAAGGTGTCCATGTGCGGTAGAGGGGATACCTTGATATCAGCCATCTGTTCCAACCCTCTCAGCTGGTTTTCAAGTTCTGAAAAGCAGCAACAATTACTGTACTATTAAATGATATAATACCCCGGCTGATATTATTTTTTAGGATAGTAGGCCTTCTTGAAAGGGTAAGAGTTTACTACAGCACAAGAATAACTTTACACAGCTCATTACAACATTTAAAAAATCTCTCTAAGACTAAACTACTATTTTAAATTTTTAATATGGAAGATTAGAAAATAGTTTTAACACGTTGACCATTGTGGTCACAGTTTAAAGTTTATTATTAACATTGAAATGCCAAAGGTCACAACAAAAGTTAAGTAAAAGTACTAAAAGTACGTATTTATTTAAAACATTGAAACATACACAATTTTACCTTACCAATAAAAACAATAGAAAAGCACACACTTTATCAGACAAATATTTCAATTTAGAGTTAAACTGAAGTTAGAAATGAACTTGAAACAGTACCTGACCTTATCCAAAAGTCACTACCCACTGATATGAAATATGTTACACTTTTAACAATGTCTTATAGTATACACACAAGAGGGTGAAAATTTTAATCAGTCTCAATAGAAAAACCACTTTTAAAACATAATTTGCTTTAAACTTTAAATAAATATCTATAGAGAAAACTTGATCACGGGTTATTAAACAACGAATGGATGTTCTCTTGAAGAAGATTTGATAAAACAGAACTTGTTTGCCCTTACATTTATCTAATCATGTTTATTTTACTATGCATCATCCAGCTCAATTCTTTATTTTCCATTCTATTGGCTAATGAGTTCATAGTTTAAAGAATCTTTTAACTTGTTTTAGCTAAACCATTCTCTTATGGGGAAGTGGTTATTGTTAGTCTTCAAGATAAAACCAGGTCCAGGTCTACTGAAATATGTTATACTAAAAATACAGTTAGTTGAATATGTTAATATCTCCAGTGAAAATGATATCAATATGTAGACAGATTTATTTATTTAAATGAGTTATTAGTTGTATTAAAAATTGTTTTCATGATTTATGAAATACTTTCAAATCGAAATACTTTCAAATCATTGTTTTCTGGGTAACATGATTTTTCTATTAAATCTATATCACATTATTAGTTAAAGAGGATATTTAGAGTTTTAAGTACAGTACGATGCCTCGAATTATCCTCATGAGATGCTTGGTTATATATTCTTGTAATTTGGCATCATTAATTATTTAATCCTTATGCAATTTGATGAAAAGAACCTTCTAACAACTATTGGTAAAAATCAGTTACTAAAATTAAAACTATTTCATTGAGAATGCAACATAGTAAATGTACTAAATAATTTAACATGCAGGTAATAAAAAACTTTTCCAAGCCATTATTGGAAAACAATTAAGATATTTGTTGTTCAAAACAATGCAAATGTGCTAAGATTGGAATAAAACACAACACTACCCTTTCAAGTTAAACAGGGTTCCCACGGAAAGTGGTTGAGGGGGGAGGGGGTACGTGCCATTTCTGTATATTCAAGTATTGCAGATTATTAAATACAGTTACCTTAGCAAAACTTACCACAATTTCTCTTGGTCAGCCTATTGATTTCATCTTGCAACCTACGTAGTCCGTTGCCTGATTCACTGGTGGGGGATATTCTTCTTTCCTCATCATTGGTTTTATTGCTTTTTGGATCTAAAACCAAGAGGTCAGAAAATCTTTTACAATGAATTAGGTTTAAAATTTCAGTATTACCCTTATGAATATTAAATATATTTGTCACAATAAGCCTAAAAAACAGCAGACTGATAAAAGTTGTTCTGTGTTTTTTTTTAACTGAACCTAGCCCATCACTCTCTAAATAAAAATAACATTTTAATTTTCATTAAGAATGGATGGATCTCGAATTTTTCGAGATTAAAAAATTCTCGTTTGTTCAAGCAGGATTAATTTTGCTCTGAGACTTTTTCGAGATGAGATTAAAAACACCTTCAGAAAGTCTATGCAATACCAGCAACAGCAATACAGGAGCGTGTTCTTGTTGCGTTTCCTTTGTGAAGGCGTTCTTATTTAATTTATTCTTTGCGTATGTAAATTTTTTGCTTCAAGTGTCATTTTTATTTAGATTGAAGCAGAACCTCTCCGGTTCAACCAGAATCACGGATAAATGAATACCGGATAAACGAGGTTTTAGTGCTGTTCTACAATTCTTTTGTCTCTTATGGACTGTTTTTGTTGCAAGACAGTTCGTTGTAATGTGCATGTTGCAGTATTACATTAAAGATTTCTTAGTTTCGTTTTATTATTTTCTTATTTAAGATCTTCATAACTATTTAAGTTGCTGTAACCTTTTGATATTTTGTACACTCTTTTTGTATTGACCTTTGTAATAAATAATAAGTTATTGCACTTTAGTTGTTTTTTTAATAGTAGGCCTACTTTATTGTTATTTATTATTCATTGTAAAACTGCACAAACAAATAATTCTTGATAGTAATGATCTATAATATTGTCTCAAATTATGATGAGAAAATAGAATCTCGTCTCAAACTTAAAATTATGTCTCGTCCATCCCTAATTTTGATAGAAAATTGTTATTATGCTTAAAAAAAGGAACTACTTAGTTTCCTTAAATTAAATTCATGCCTGAACTATTTGAACCAAAATGGCTTTAAGATTTTAATTTGTACAATAGCTAACCTGTATTTTTGATAAGATGTTCTTCTTCAAGTAGACGCATGCGCTTGTTGGTAGTATGTACACCAGTGGGGGAACTGGGACTAATGGGGAAATGACTCAGATCACTGACTCGACTGGAAAACAAATAATAAAACATATTATGCTATATTGTATTCAGTTATTGAGACCAATTCCTGTGAAAGTAGTTGAACCAAAATGCTCCTTACTGATTGAAACAATCAAAATAGGCTATATTAGAATGTTTATGAACTTATTCTGAACTTAGTAAAAGAAATACAAATGTCAAAGCTAAACTAAGAACATTTACTTTCATAACAGTAAAAGAACTTTTTATATTAAGAAGATTTGGTAAAGTATATTGAAACTTTGAAAACAATCTACTACTCATTTTTTATTCCAATTTAACGTACTGTATCGAAATATGGGGATACACTACTGTAACAAACATAAATAAACTTCTACTCCTTCAACACAAAGCTTTGAGGTGTATGGCGGGACTGAGCTTTGGGAAATCTTGTGAGGAAACTTTCAAAAATCTTGATATTCTTACTGTTCCTTGCATAATCATTTACCGAGTTATAATATATCACACCATAACAACATACATAATCTATTTCCGCAACTGCTCCTCAGTCTTACAGACATATCTTTGTCTCTCACCACGGTTACAGAAAATCACAATTTTGTCCTCTGCGATCGTGGCAAAAGCGTGATCTTTTGATCGCAAAATCTTTGAGATAGCAAAAGTAAAATATCAGCTTGAATCAGCCTGTTTACTGTAAAATACCCTGAAATCCGGTAAAAACCTGACTATGAATGTGGTACAGTCCCAATTAATTTGGATAATTGTAGTTCTACTATAAGAGGATATGTCTGCATCTCCCACCTGCCCTGTGTGAAGGTGAAGCCCACAAACGGCAGATGCAGTGCAGAGAAGGCAGCGTTGGCTGTGGGTGGTAGCGTATCTGAGGTACGGATCACAGTATCGTCCACATCAAAGTTGCTGGTATCCGTGGGTGACGAGACTTCAGGAATGTAAGGAGCCACTGAGTCCCTCAATGTCACCCAGTCTAGACCAGCAAACCACGGGTGGTTCTGGAAAACACAACCACATTACCATGCGAATATAATACATTTCTGCATATGGATTAACTTTTAAAAAGTTGGAAAATAATCACAACCATCCTTGTGTCTATTATCAATTGATATAAACTACTCAGTAATGATAATTGCTGTAAATCTTGACCTAGAATTTATCTATTACCAAATATACTATGATCGAAATAACATTGATCAATAACACATACCTTAAAATCATCAACACCTTTTTGGCCAAGTCGTAATTCAGCCGTACATATAAGTCTCTTCATTAAATCTTTGGCTTCTTCTGTTACTTCATAACCTAGTTCAGATGGGAAATCAAAGCAGTTCTGGAACAAAAAGAAATGTTTGTTGCAATAAACATGCAACAATGTCAAAATTAAAATGATTGTAATATTTAAACTGTCAGTTATGTAAACAATTAAACAGCTACCGATACAGAGCCATTTGGATGAAATTCACTACAACATTCCTTATCAAAGTATATTTCTACAAGTCCTTAAGCTGGTAAGTATTTGTCATTGGGCTATTATTAAATCATACTTTCCATCAACTACTAAACAAAAATCTCTCTTTGATACATTACCTTGTGATTCATGATCTTGCCGTAAGTCTCTACGAGGGACTCTGCGTAGAAGGGAGTTTCCCCGTAAAGCATCTCGTACATGCAGACACCCAGGGACCACCAGTCACACTCAGGCCCGTACCTGCCTTGACCATCCTCCATTGCCTGTCAAGAAGATAAAGTTTAAAATATAGATAGAAGTATCTTAATTAATTAATTTTATTATATAGGGGTACATTCTGGTTAATTCAACTGCAACCATCCTAAATTGGCTCAGGCCAACTTAACACAAAAACTTATATAGGTTTTGTTCATGTAATATTTATTTGAGAAGGTGAATCGGTTACTATAACATTATATTCATAAATAGGACTTGATAATGCATTATAAGTGTAACATAAACAAATATAAAATAGAGCATCGCACAGCAATGGAACTAACTAATAATGTTTATGGCTAGACAGAAGGGTAGGCATTAGATCATGTGATAAGGTAAACCGCTTCAGACAGTAACTATATATCAGTAAGTACCCAGCAATTGCCTGTGGATAAAAACATGGATATTTCCATTTCTGACTCAAAGTACTCAAATGGTAATTTAGCTACATAATTAAAACTTTCTGAGATTTTTGTACATTCCCTTATAATGTAACTTTCCATAACACATTTCTGGTTCAAGAACATTTTTGGAGCCGAGGCACCGCTGTAAAACTACTGATTTTTCGAGTCTATATTTGAATAATGTATTATCTTATCATGAGATAAAGTCAACGTTTTCTGAGTTGAACAGGTTCCAAATCATGTGCAAGATCACGACAGAGAATTTGAGTTTACACTTGGCAAGAAACATACTTAGGCAACGTAAAATAAACATTTGTTTAAAGATTTAATATGGACCATTCGCACTAACCCGAAGAATCTCTGGAGAAATGTAGTCGGGCGTACCCACAGCTACATTGCTCTGGACAGTTCCGTCTTCAAACAGCTTCAGACAGGAGCCAAAGTCAGCGAGTCGAATGTGACCGTTGGCATCCAACAGAACGTTATCTGGCTTGATGTCCCTAGATAATCAAAGTTCACGATTACTACCAATTATCTCTTATATTTGTCATTCCGGCAGTATTTTCAACTAAGAGACCTGAGAAAAACTGGCCCTTTCTTAGTTGAAATTTCTGTCAGCGACAGTGGAATATTCTTGTGTAGGCCTTAGGGTATAGGCTGGGATGAAATTTATTTTAAAAAAATGCTACAAACTCTCAGACAACTATAGCAAAAATATTATTCTTTAGCATAAAAATATTATTCTTTAGCATTAAAAAAATGATTGCCAGTAATATTACATGAACATTAAATCTTCAATTTTTATTTGTAGCAAATTTGCTATAGCCTGTAAAAACAATGTAGTATTTTAAAGGTGTGTATAGCAAAATGTTAAAAAAAGCTTCCGTAGCTTAAACCCTGGTAGGCCTAAAGTTTTGTGATTCTTGTGCTGAATAGTACTATTTCCCATTCAGGTAAGCCTGCTAGCCTCACTAAAAATTAGCCTAAAAAATAAATTACCTATGTACGTATCTAAGGTTGTGTATAGAGCTGACGGCCAAAATCATCTCAGCAATATAGAAGCGAGCCATGTCCTCGGGTAAGCGATCGTCAAACTTGCTAAGCAGAGTAAGAAGGTCACCACCACAGTAGTAGTCCATGACAAGATACTGGACAGAAACATACAATTAATGCACAAATCAAGCTTTAACTCATGCATGTAAGTAAGTATACATGTATGTAAGTTTTATATATACAGTAGAGTCCCGCATACTCGGCACTCGATAACCCAGCAGTCTGGATAACTCGGCCATCACCTGGCTCAGAAAATTAGTGATTTTTTGAGTCCGAATTAAACATGGACACAAGCCAGAAGTATAATCATTTGCAACTCGTACTAAGGATTTGTTGTACTATATCTGATGACTTGATCTATATCTTGAAATATAAATCTAATTAAAAAAGGTGTTAAAATGCTTAAAAGTTGTATTGTTCTTGTTTTTAACTCTAGTTCCCGATAACCCGGCATTTCACAAACTCAGCAACCTTCCAGTCCACATTACGCCGAGTTTGCGGGACTCTACTGTATAGGTATATAAATGCATTAGTGAATGTACATTATTGGCTGGACTAATTTGATATTTTTCTCATGAGATAATAATTAATTAGAAATTAAAATTATTAATTTACAATCACATATCATCCATACTGATGTACAGATATTGAGATATTAGTTTTAACTATTGACAATTCTTAACAGGCTTACCAAGTTGTTATCATCTTGAAATGCATAGTGTAAATTTGTTATCCATCTTCTATCACCATATACCAATACATCACGTTCCTCCTGCAAAAAAGATAGTCAAACATTAATACTTTTTTAAAATAACAGTTAAAACTTAAATGTTATCATAACATTCTCAATTGTGGTAGCCACAGAAGGCAACTCTGAAGATCATTCGAGTGTATGTCTAGTTAGCATAGTACCCGCCCTGTCAGTATTCTCCTACCTGGTCAACAGAGCGTTGTGTTTACACGACCCGTTCTCTGCCCCCAATCTGAGCTCTGAGCATTGCTTTCCCTAATTGTAGAACGTTATTTTTAGATTACAAAATTTTTTTTCTGAGTTTTTTAAGTGTAAATATAAAGCTTGAGAAGTGTTCCACAACCGTTTGTAAGGTTTGTACACTTCTATAATTTCTGTCAAAACATCTTGTTCCTTCATTTCAAAAACAAGAAAAACAAACTTTAAAGTCAACTCAGACACTCATATCAAGGTTGGACTGAGAGATTTGCCTGGTCTAGAGCTTTGGGATTCACATCCGTCCCCAGAGGAAGTGCACAATCCCCATCCTTCCTCCCTAAATCCAACGGAAATCCCTCCTGGTCTCCCTTCATGGTCGCTGGCCAAATCGTGACCAGGAGTAGGCTACTAGTTTACACTGTGATTGGAATTCAGGGCCGATGTCGATCAGGCCTAATTTAGAAAAACGGTGCTTAAGATTTATACATAATTTAACAACATTGAACCTACCTGAAAACATGCCGTCTCTGCTCTCTTCAACATCTCCCATTTGTTCAGGATCTTCATGGCAAAGACTTTATCTGTACCTTTCATCTTCACGACACACACTTCACCAAAAGCTCCTCGACCGATTACTTTGATTATCTCAAAATCATCTCTGGATAACCGTAGGTTCTTGACACAAGTTGCAACCGGTTTTACTAGAAAATTAAAATTAAATCAATATACAAACTGAAAAATAAAAATGTTTTGTGATTTAGACACATTTTACAACTGAAAATAAACCTTTACATAATTCTTTAGATATTAATTTCTATTGACTGGCACTCTCAAATTATTCATAAATTGAGGTTACTGCCAGTCTAGACCCAATCTCTCACTGGGTTGTATTTTGATTTTATTCAGACGAAATTTAATATTCTTGTGTTTGTATTTTAAGTGTGTGTTACAATATGACCTTTATATGATGCAAAATTTTGTCTTTTCATCAAAAAAAGGGTCCATAAATCTACACCAAAACTAGTTGCCACTGCAACCAAATTGGTTTACCAATAAATACCGTTGTGTAGTACCTAAATCAAACCCTAAACTTAAGAGCCTAGTGTGTTGTGATGACCTGTTTGAGGAGAGTGGCTTTTCTACCTTATCAAGTTAATGTTTCTCCACTTGGTAAACAGAAACTCACCGAACTCAATGAAGTCAGAGACGGTTTTCTCACGCCGCAAGGAGGAGTTGCAACATTCGTCGTACAGGATGATCAAGATGTCTAGGAGAGTTTCTATGCTGAAACATCTCCCCTGCCCTTGGATTGGTCCTCCGAGGAAAATGGCCTCCAACTGTCTCAGACGCTGGTCCCCTGCAACATATACAACAATTAGGCGTTGTTCGTCAAATTTTGACAGTAAATCAAAATATATATATTTTTATACACAAGCATGAGATAGTTAATCAATACAGTAAGTTAATTTTATCGTTTCTTGAACTGAAATCAATCTGTCACAATTTTGGCATGCAATTATCATATTTAAAAACTATGTCTTGGGTGTTCAACAGAAAATCAAGGTCTATTAATGCATTCCTTTCACTCTTGGTTTTAAGCTGTATTATTAAATGAATAAAAAAATGGTTACTTTTAGATGGTCTCAGTAATCCATCGCCAAGTCCCAAACATGCCAGATTTCGAGTTTATTTCCTAGGTCCCTAAAAGTACTAGGCCTACATTAATTTATTTGTTAAGCAAGCCTTGACTAATTTTTGTGAGAGAATGATTATAATGAATATATTCAACCTATACTCCATTATAAATTCACTGTGCGGTCCATAACGGAAATTCAATAAGTCATGTATTACTCTGAAGGCAAGTAGTACGTTCAGCAATACTAGCCCTCCTCAAACCATCAGGTTTCAGAAAGCTCAATTTTTTCCTCTCTCTTTTTACTACCATTGATTACTTATTTTGACTCTAGGCCTCGCCTACATAAGACCAATCTATAGAAACAGAAACAAGCAAATGTTTAGTACCAACTGCTTTTACAAGTTTCCGAGGACTGTTGAAGCAACCCACATTAAACATGATGTTTTCCATGTTGATGGCATCTCCCACAAGACTGCACAGTGAACATAGGATTTTCAATGATCCTGACAATGTAATGATCATGGGAAAATCTGGAATTCGTGTTTAACGCAAGATCCTTGATTCTTTAATATCACATGCACACTAATCAAAAGTTTTGGATAACTAAGAATCAGAATCAGCTTATACCTTCTTAAGGTTCCCGGTTTTTTCGCAAAGTTCACACCTCAATCCACTTTTTTGAAGGACCAAATTCAAAGCTCATTCAGTAGCTTGAATTTTACTTAGTTGAGTGAGTGAGCTACATACAATATGAATACAAAGAGATTCTACCAAGACTACTGACCTGTTGAAGGGGAGGTGCTCCCAGGATCGGGCAGAGCCGCCAACTTGGTCGTAGAGTCAGACATCGGAGCACATTAAAGGCCAATGAGTTTAAATCATATCTCTCTCATGTTCACCTCCACCACACATCACCATTGTTTATCTATTGTGTTCTCTCATGGAAGTGTCTATTTTATCAATAATTACCAACCTGTAACAAATATAAACAAATTGAAATTTTAATGAGGGTTTCACTTACTTCTAAAATCTCTACAAAAACATTACAATAAGCTTATTCGGATCATTGGATTTTTACCAAAAATTAGTCTTTTTAAAGAAAACAAGGCAAGTCAGGCCGAGATTTTACTATTGTGATCGCAGAACGTGTCTGCAATTGGGAAATTTACGCTTTTGCTGCGATTAAAGAGTACGATTATGATTTTCCGTGACCGCGGGAGACGATCATGGTGTCACATCAAGATCGCGAGACAGGTTTTGGATTTTGCCGTGATCACGACTTCTGCCTTTTTTAATAACGATTCTCATTACTGTACTGTGGTTATAAACTATTTCTGTAAGCAATTCGGATAATTGGAGATTCGGATACTTAATACTTTATTCTGAAATTATGACCATACGAAGGTAGATATTTTAAGCCAAATATGAATGGAGATGAGAGTAGGATGAGTGGTGCGATCTTATAGACTTATTAGTGACTAAGGCCGACATGTTTCTTAGACAGGACTGTTAATTAATAGCCCATACAACCAATAGCAACTAAGGGACCAAAATTTTATAGGGGTATCCGAACCATGATAGTTGGAGTTGGGATAATTGTAGTTCTACTGTATTGCAGTTTCAGATACTACCTAACTACACCTTATAAGACAGGGGCATTTTGGTCACAGGCCATAGCATATAGGCTGATACTAAACCCAGAGTAAATCCTTCAGCAAAAATAAAATAAAGTATAGGTACCTACTTTTAAAATTGTTTGAATGCAAATGATTATCTTATAGCTCAAATAAAAGCAACAATATGCAAATTTTTCTAATTTTCGTATTCTAGCTTATTGGGTCCTAATTAATGCAAGAACTTTGTCATGGGAGTTTACTATTGTGATCGCAGAACAAGTCTGCAATCGGGAAATTTACGCTTTTCACGCGATTGCGGAGTACAATTATGATTTTCTGTGACTTATACCAAACTTATACCAAAACTGAACCAAGTATAATGGTAGGAACAGACAAAAAGTGTATGCGTATTACACAGTTGGTCAAATAGTTGTGAGAGGATGTTCTAACCTCCAAGTAGTAATCGCTTGAATGTGTGTTGCATATGGTCAAATAGCTTACTTGGACTATTTCTAAAACCAGTTCTACCAAAATCTACCTATTATTAAAGAAATAACACGAGTATGAAAAAGATATACACTTTAAACAAGTCCTGATGATACATCCTCAGCCACTTATAGCTTAAATTTAACACTAAAGAAAATATTAACAAGAGAAAATAATAACTCAACACTTACCGTAACTACTCAACTTTCTAATGCCGTGTCCTCAGAAGTACACTGGCTGTTATAATTTTTTTTACAATTATTGGAAATCTAAATATGAATGATCTTTATGACTATTTTTTGAATTTTTAGTAAGTTAGGTCACAAAAATATTAACTATCTATTGAAAAAAGTAATTATCAAATTACCTGGCCAACAGAGTTGTTTGTATGCTTGCCAGTAGCCTACAATCCAGAGAGAAAAAACTGAAAGGTTTAAAAAAAAGTGTAACTCGAGTTATGTTTTTAAAATTTAAATTTCAAAAGATATTTGTGTAAGAGTAAGAGCTTAAAATTGAGTTCTTTCTATCACGAATTCAGAATGATTGAGCTTAAAATAAAAACATTATCAATTTACATCTCCATAAAACTATTGACATGACAGTTTATTTTTAAAACATTTAATCTGTTATTGGCGTTTAAACATTATATTTAAATATAATTTTATGATACTCAAATGTATTCGTTCATATTATGTCAAATTTTCATGTTGTAAAACTGTCAATTAAAATATGGTCAGCAAGATATTAGTTGAAGGCAAAGATGACTTCGTATAGAGGTACAGATTGAACTTATGAATACTTTTTGTTCATATTTGTTAAAGGTCTACTGTTGGCATCTTATATTATTACACTCATGCAACATAACCTTTGTAGTTCACAACCACTTTTGTATGAAAGTCGAGCCTTTCTCCATGTTCAATCGGACACAGACCTATAAATAGTCATCATGTATGACTCAAGGACAAGTCATCATATACATAACTCGAGGACAGAAGTGTTCGCTATATTTCTCCAGAGCAGCATTTTTAATTAGGAAAGCTAATATGAGCTCTTGTTCCGACATGGTAAGGAGGGATTTTGTACCTCAAATGGCATTTTTGTGTTTTCTTACCAAATGTTTTGTGCACTCTTATATTCGGGTATAATACTGTGTTGAATACTGTAACTTTTTTTAATTTTCAACATTAGCCCTACACCAAAAAGAAGACAAAAATTACCAAAATAAATTACAAAAAAACTGGATGTGGGCTAGATAGCTTGTTTTTTCCCGATTGGCTTTTTATATCTGATTAAATTAACTTTTGAGTTTTAAGTAGTAGCCTAGACCTAAGTACTATTACAGCATGGGAACTTAATATTGTAATAGGCTTACAGTAAAGTGCAAGATATGCAGATTGGCTACCATATTTATAGTTAATACTCAAGTAGTGAAAGAAGCAACACTTTTAAACAGCTCTATCAGAGATTGTTTATAAAAATTAGAGCTCAAGTACCTGTAGTATGATGGGTGCTTCATTGGAGATGTATACAAATACAAGATATTATTTATAGTTTTAGATAACCTCTACCTCTAGCTACAACTGACTGATGATTGTTACATTAGGTTTAAAAAAAATAAAAATACATGTATGAATGTTTTTTAAATCACTATCTCCTGTCTTGAAAATAGCATTTTGTTAACTATTTTGGCTTCTCTCATAACAAGACTTGCATAGTACGTCAAAACAATCAGTTTTAGTTTTGTCAAACGGAATAGATTATACATCAACGTCGGAGACACATTTTAGCCAAATCACTTCAGTCATCCTGTTACTCGTTTAATACACAATTTTCATCTTAGTTTGTTTGATTACAAAACTTAAAATAATTTGAATTAAATACTGATAATACTAAAAATGTCTCGCCTATTCGGAGGACTTTATTCTAACTAATTTATGATATCTTCTTTGGAAGGAAATAGTCATTCCTAAACATTTAACTTAAACCCGTAGAAATAGCAAGCCTTCAAAAATGTATTGCCATGAAATCACAATTCTTTATTAGGTACGTGGTTTAACACAATAATGGAAAAATTAGTCATACATATACAGTGCTGGATTTGTGGTGGAACAGCGTTCAGGTATATCTATACTTCGGAAAGATAAAAATATTGGAATAAATAGGTACTAATCACATTAAATAGGTTACAGTTCCGGCACCTTATTGTTTTACAAATCAAGCACTGGTATAATTCATCATGCAGGTTGTTGAAAACAAAACCGGAACTTACCTTTAATTACAAATCAATTAACTTGATGGAACTCCCCACTTTTTTTACAAACAAATTTTCAAAACTAGTTTTGGGTCAAGAGAATTTACATGTTGTTAGTTTCATTAGTAGAACACTAATTAGTAAATTGGAGTCTGAGAAGGGATCACACAAAGATTAGAAGATTGGACATTTTTTCCCAGTATTATGTACAAACAGGGCAAACAAAATTGTTTAAATTAAAAGAATTACAACTTTACCCTACACCTCTTCTAACTTGTTTTTAAATAGCCAGTGATCTAAAATCTACATTCAATTTATTCATTGATTATTTATTCAATAAGTTGGTGATCGTTTTTATACCTAGCCTATGTTTTTTTTCATGATGATGTTAGCCTCCTTCTTATGTTTTGTTTAGAATACCGTACTGTTATGTATATATTTTTATAAATAGAACTAACATGGATAATATACTTTTAAAGGCTCAAATCACCTCATATCATCTTGCTAATTCAAATTAGCCTAATATGTAGTTAATAAATACAATACAAAGTTTAGGTTGCGATGTCTATTTATTTTCTAATCCTGACTAGTTTTAACAATCTAATTCACAAAGCTCACTTAGTTCGGTTTATAACCTGGTCACACATGACTATTAAAGCTTGTTGATAGGGCGACTCGTGTATAAGCTCAGCCTTTTCAGTGGCTTTTAGGCAATACCTCTCAGCGAGATATCTGGTCTCATCAAGACCATCCGAGTTGTAAACTAGCTCTAGTGCCTTTTCAACATCTCCAGGCTCTTGAAATCTTCGCATAATCATGCAGTTAAGTTCAGGAAACTTCTCACACGCAAACAACACAGGCGCTGTACACAAGCCCAGTTTGAGGTCTGTCGTTGTTGGTTTACCCAGAGCAACAGACGATGAAGTAAAATCCAGCAAGTCGTCGACTAGTTGAAATGCAATGCCAATGTTGCGGCCGTACTCGTAAGCGATCTCAGTAGTTTTGGCATCGGCTCCACCGAGGATTGCAACAGCCTTCAATGAGTTGGCAATTAAACTCGCTGTTTTACAGTAGGATTTGGTTAAATAATGTGTAAACCTCGCACCTTCTACTTCTCTTGAACCCAGTTGCATGAACTCTCCTTTAACAAGATCCGTCACAAACTGACTCAAGGTAATAGTGACATCGTCATTCCGCAGCCTCGCGATCATCATGGAGGCGACAGCTAGGATGTAATCTCCCGCCATCGCTACTTGTTTCTGATTCCAAACCCAATTTACACTTGGCTTTCCCCGACGAAGATTCGATTGGTCAATGACATCATCATGCATCAATGATGCCGCATGAATCATCTCGGAAATTGCGGCAACCTGCTTCTGAGTTTGAAGTAAATCACAGTTTAAATGTAAATGTTTGTTGATGGCCCTAGCCATTAAAATGATCAAAACTGGTCTGATTGCTTTTCCTTTGCCATCAAAATAATAGGAAGACACGTTGTATAGACTATCTTGACTAGTGTTGAACCTCAGCTCTTCTTTGATCTTGGTATAGAAATGGGTTAAATCAGATTTGACTAGTAGATAAGGAGTAGTGGAGTCAGCGGGTAGCTCTACCTGAGTTGAAAAAAGTCTCTTCATCTCAACTAAGGGCCTCATTTTGTTAAACAAACTAAAGTCATAAAATATTGCTCGAGCAGTCAATGTTGTTTTCCCCATTTGGAAAAATGGTAAGTTAAACACCAGCGTCTTTCCCGTGAACTTATGTCTATGTTGCACTAGGAAGAAAACTTCTTTTGCACTTTTCAAGATGGACTGAGACTTCCACATAGCACTGGCTAATATTTTTAAATATTCAATTTACTGTCACTGATCTTGGAGTGTTACTTAGGGCAATTACTTAGATTTAGCTCGTAGCCCTTTCTTAAATCAGATCCTTAGAGATATTGAATAGTTAACGACTGTAGATGGATCACTTTTGAATTGGAACCAGATAACGAGTTGATCACCAAACATAGCAACCCTATAACACAAATTACATAAACTTTCAGCTAGCGCCCTGGAGATAAAGAGCACATCTACAAAGTGATAAAAGCTTACAGGAAATACAAAGTAACCCTTGGATTTAACTTAGTTAGGCCACATAACTCACTTCATTATAAAATGTTGATAAATGTACTGACAGTCCAATGACTGACATAATACTTGGATTGGTATATGAAATTGTTTTGGACTAGTTATTTAATACCACTAATAGCCTACAATATTATCGCAAGCAAAATTATGCAACTCTCTATCATACCCAAATATAGCAAAATCAGACATTGAAATACAAAGGAGTCTGTAACTTTAGCTGGCCTTGAAGAAATTGACAGTCTTTTAATGTACTAAGCTAGTAGTAGCGTAGGCCTACTGAATGTCTGGCCAGTTATTATGTCAAATAACAGTGAGTGATAAAATATGGTAGGCTATACAGGTTTAAAACTTATTGTGAAAGTTCTTGTAACAACAAGTTTGTGATATTCACATATGAAGATTCTTTTTGATAGCTGCTATGGTTAATCTTTATCATTAACGCTAGTTATTGTGAGCATTGCTGTAGCTTAACTACACACTTTGGATTGGGATAGGTTAAATAAATAGGCCTACTTAGCCAAATATTCAGTAAATATCTGGTTTGATCCTGAGACAAGTAAAAAGGGCCCTACAGTATGCAATAGGAATGTTCAACTACCAAGCGCAGATATTTTTGTTTTCAAAAGCGTAGGCCTACATTCTTCTCAGTTTTTGATCGACCAATAGTAGGCTAGGCATATTAGGAATATAAGTGACAGTTAGCGGAAAGTTTAGGTACAGTCCTAATTATCATTCTTCTTTATGTTTTTTGGGTCGCTGAACACGAATATGAGGTTTGCTGACAGATATTTTGCCCGGAACATTGGTTATTTTGTGAAAAACCTTAAAATTTGGGCAATTTTTTTTTGTTTTTCGGGCAAATCTCGGTAAGTATGTGTTTTTGATAAAATCCTGCCTTGGAAAATTAAAGATGACAAAATTTACTACAAGTTTCCAATATAATGTTTGTTTCTACGACGAACCGTTTCGCCACTAGAGCACACTAAAAAAGGCCAGAAGTACAAAAAAAAACATTGTTAAATGCTGCCGTTTTACATTACGTTTCCATGGAAACAACCCATGTTACGATAATTTTAACTATTTATTCATGATAACAAACTGAAACACACTTAAAAATACCCCCGCCGCAGCAAACCTGCAGACTACGCGAATTTCCATTTCCCTGATATGGAAAATTAATAACTTAATAAAATAACTTGAAAATCAGGGAAATGGAAATTCGCTTAGTCTGCAGGTTTGCTGCGGCGGGGGTATTTTTAAGTGTGTTTCAGTTTGTTATCATGAATAAATAGTTAAAATTATCGTAACATGGGTTGTTTCCATGGAAACGTAATGTAAAACTGCAGCATTTAGCAATGTTTTTAATTTTTTGTACTTCTGGCCTTTTTAGTGTGCTCTAGTGGCGAAACGGTTTGTCGTAGAAACAAACATTATATTGGAAACTTGTAGTAAATTTTGTCATCTTTAATTTTATAAAGCATGATTTTATCAAAAACCCATACTTACCGAGATTTGCCCGAAAAACCAAAAAAAGTGCCCAAATTTTAAGGTTTTTCACTAAATAACCAATGTTCCGGGCAAAATATCTGTCAGTAAACCTCGTATTCGTGTTCAGCGACCCAAAAAACATAAAGAAAAGTGATGATTAGGACTGTACCTAAACTTTCTGCTAACTTTCCTAATATGCCTAGACTATAGGCCTATATTTAAAATTTGGTTGAATAACTGATCTAGAGGCAACAATAGAATGTCAATCATTCTAAGCCGACATCCAAAACACCAGTAATTAATAGTCTAGATTAAATCACACTTACTGGCTTACTTAAATCACAAGTTCAGTAAGGAACCAGTGCTCAAGGTGCCTACTTAATAACAGTTGTCTCTAAGTATTTGTCTGGGATAGTTTACGCAAGTTACACTACACTATTCATTTTTAATGTTCGATGCTAAAAGACTTTGAAGTTAGTAAGTTTAGGCCCTAGCTATGTTATCCAAACGTAAACTCGTGATAACTTAAGTATTTCTATAAAAAGTTAGGATGTTGGAGCACTTAAAAAATGTATAGATGGATTGAGCTTAGCTTGCGATCAAAAAGTTGAAAATCCAAAAATTTGACATAAAAAAACAACAAAAAACATGAAGCTATTGTAAAATTTGAATGTAACTTAAGTTGTTATGCTTTTAGGGCGGGTTTCGGAGCTCGGGAATATGTATTCCTGGAGTTACTTAAGTTAACCCTCCGAGTGTTATTTGTCGCTGCAGCGACACATAATACACTTTGTGTAGTGTTTTGTGCCGCTGCAGCGACTCACAAACACTGTTTACGGCGAAGGCTCTATGACTGACAAAATCGGATTGAACTGGATCGAGTTAGGTATCGTTTTATTTGACAGATTCAGAGCTTTCTCCGGAGGTCTGTCTCTAAGCGCTTTTCATTTTAGTTCCGAAAATATTGTAGCAGTCAGCTGACGTGCGTATTTGTAAACAGCTTGGTTAACCTCGGACCGATGACTGATGTGTTTTATTACGTTTATCATTGTTTTAGTGTTAAAAATCAAAAGTAGTGATATACGTGGTGCATTATAAGAAGATTTAAGCGATTTTGAAGGGCTGGTTGATGATCCTGAAGAAGTAGGTAGTGATATTGATGTAAATTATCAGCCAGACTCCTAGCTATGGTTAGGCTATGCATTCTTAGCTAAACGCTATGTACTGAAATCTGTTTTTTGCCCATAACTTATTTATTTGCAAATCTACTTCCTTATATTATTATATATTTGTAATCCTTATAAAATTTAGAACAAAGTGGCTATTTTCAAATATTTATAGGCCTATAATTTATACAATTTCATTGAGCGCGAACTTATATTTTTTTTACCTAAATTTTTTTTTGAAACAAATGTTCCTTATGTTTTATGTATAATATTGAAGCCCATGATTTTCCAAACAAAATGGTATATAGAACAGTATAATTAAGGTAAATTGCCAAATACCGTGACTCACCCAAATACCGTGATTTTTGTATTTTCCCGCCAATAACAGTAATATTGCTGGTCAAAGACGTTTAATCTTTATATAAGAAGTAAATTCAACTTTTGGAGTTTATTTTAAATGTCTTTGATGGCTGCTGGTGCCATGTCATCTGGCTCATTTATCAGTTTGAATGTTGACGTTTCTTGAAACAGGTGTTTTCCTTAAGGTTCTTAGTGATTCAAACAAGGAAAGAGGTGAGTGGAATAAGCTTTAGTTTAGTATATTTTTATGTTACATAGACAATAGACGTATATTTTGAACTAATACAGGGGTGCCCACAAGGGGGGGCCGTGACGCAGACTGCGTCATTGAAATTCTTGGGGGGGGCTCAAAAAATTCAAATGGGGGGGGCTAAAGTTAATTGCAACAGTGTTCAATGTGACGACAATCCAAAATACATTACGAAGTCGCCAGATAGAAAGTGGATTAATTAATGACAATAGTTATATTATTGAATTAAATTAGTTAAAATAGGATTTTAGGATGGTTTAGGATTCGTGTAGAAAGTTATTATTTAAGATTAGCAAGACGTGAGATCTAAGAGGGAGCGCACGGGATGGCTCAACTGCTGTGATAGATAAAGATAACGCGTGGTACAGACACGTCCAGCTACACCGCGACTTAGCACAGCAGAACGCTTTGTTGACATAAAGCTCGTTAAAATACAATCAAGTAGCAAGTAGAATAGGCTACAATACTTTACACTATTGTGTAGATACTCGATTACCTGAGTTAATAGTGAGAGGGGGGGGGGGGATGAAAAATACGGTTAATCCAATATAGTATAAAAACAGATGACAAACTCATTAAAACACTGTAAACAGCCATTAACGTCACGATTTACATTTTTATAAACGAAATTCAATATTGCACAATCATTATTATTGTAAATTTCAAATCATTTATCTTTGTTCAGTTGTACAAACTGCAACGTTTAAAATTGTAGCTAACTCAAACTCAACTAATCACTAGCCAAACATTGCATTGCTATAAATAACGTAAATATTAAAGGAACCTTTAGAAAGTGTTATAAGGTACTGCTCATGATAGGCAGAGGCTACCGATAGGTGCTGTATCACAGCATAGGAATTGATAGATAAGTAATAAAAAAGTGTAAATTATATTTAGAGATAATTAAAACACTCTTAAAAAAGAATGTAACGAGAACAATATTGTTATTCTCTTTCTTTGTTCTTCTGTTCTTTAATAGGTTTCTCTTCAATTCATACACAAATTCAACAAGTTGTCATATTTAGGCCTACTCATTGGCCAATCACAGCCTTACTAAAGTTACCATGGTTATCACTCAATCACAGTGTACTAAGCATTATATCGTCATCATTCCCCAGCTGTTGGACCTGAAATCTGTTGTAACATAGTGCACAGCAGACAGAAGTGTATAACGGAGCAGACGATTGTTGGCGCACGCGTTGTTTCCATTTCATTTTCATCAAAGGAGCTGTGATGTTTCTAAAGGGAGGGAGATGGGATCGTTATATCGAGAAAGACGCTGACAATTCGTTAAGCAGAGGTTACGAACGCTATATAGATATTCTGGAAATAAAAAAATCCTTTAATTGAGGTGACTTATAAAACTCTAATTTTATTTATATAGGAAGATAAGTTTCCAGTCCTGTACAACACTGATTCACGGTCTTTTCCCTGTAATCAAAATTCAAGTACAACTTGATACACACAGAATCTCCGGATCCCGACCTGGATGATGGCTAGTTATTTAATTTAATTTACAGTTACATATTAGTACTCGTGATAAATCAAACCCGTTATGTAAGCCAAAGCCACACGGTTATTAATCTCACTTGGTTTTGGATTTGCTTACAAACGTGATCGGAA